TGATGATGATGATGATGATGATGATGATGATGATGATGATGATGATGTTGCAGTCCTGACTCTGGTATATAATTACTAGTGATCATTTGTTTACCGACCAGTAGACGGATCACTTGGAAGCGCTCGATGTGGAACACCACCAGATGCCAATCTCAAGTCGTGCGAAGCACCAAGTGATTGTGGAAGCGAACGCCCACTAGCCCCTCAGCCTGTAATTGTCCGGGGGGTGAAATGTCTCGCATCCATCTAATGATTCTGGCTGGCGAACGCCCAACCCACCGGTGACGTATTTCGGAAGTGAACGGATCAAAACATGGCGAACGCCCAACTCGGACGCCTGAAGAATTGAGAGCTAACCCGGTGGGATGTGAAACTTTGGGAGTTTAAGGAGGACCCAAATCGTGGACGCCGTGGGATCCAACACGGTGAAACAGGATTTGGGGTGGATAGCGAATGGCCACATTGGGTTGTGGGCATATTCACTTGGCTGTGGCTCAACTCAAACCAGAAATGGACGACCCAAAAGCTGTGCGTGAAACTGCGATGGGCCCTGGCAATGCTTGTTACTTGACTTAAAAGACTTTGTGTTTGGGAAGATGGAGTCCCGCACAACATCACACCCATTGGAGTGCCTGGATCGCCTGGCATCTACAGATACCAGGGGATTCAGTGTAGATCTGTTGGGACAGATCCGTAATTAATTCTATCCTCGCTATTCAGCGGTTTGCCTCCTCCGCAAGGCTATCTACTGTATCATACTGTATCAATTTGGTTCTTGCGGGGCTCGCAGCCGCAAGAAGGCTTGCAGCCGTCTAGAACAGCCCATCACGGCCCACCCATCATCCTCCATCATCCTGTCCTTCCTGGGTGAAAGCGACCAACAGATCCATCCTGTCCTTGTTGGGCGTTCTTTTCTGTGCACCTCAGACCTCTCCGCCACCACCAAGGGGCTGCGGCCCGCATCGGTCAGGCTCGCCAGCTTCCGCAAGGCGTCCTCCGAGACGCGCTTCAGCACGTCCTGCGAGCGTTCGCCTGGCGGAAGGAGACGGTCGTTGGCAGGATGGACAGCCCAAAGGAAAAGCAAGGTGGTGCCAAGGCAGTTGGGGAACCGAAAAGGGCATCAAATAAGGGCTTTACACTACAAACATAATGGACTTGGAAGTCTAGGGCTCATATAGAAAGTATAACAATGACCTAGTGACCTAGGTGCTATAGATAATCAATTCCCCTCCACTCTCTGCGGCTAGATCACCAGCGCTCCACCTGGACGCATCTGCGCTGGCCCCCTGAGTCGGTCCCCCTGCCTGCCCGAGGCTCGTTGATGAACTTCGCAAGGACCATCCTCGGTCGCCGGACATGGCGGAAGGGAGTCGCAAGCACCTACCGCCCTGCGACTGCATCCCAAAGAAAAACACATCGAACGCCCCAAGAACCAAGTCTGGAACCCCATGTCTGATGGCACAACCAACGAAACTCCGTCTTCCGCGCCATTTTCTATCGACCTGAACTCCTGATGAGAAATCCCCTCCACGACCCCACTCACACACAAACGCGATGTTCGATTCCAAGCGTCTTGAGTGCACACTCCGTCATCTCAGCGCTCTCACCCAGCTCCTTCTGCTTTCGCTGGTTCTGGGATTTGGTCACGTTGTCGATGAAGACCTCAAGGCCGGGTCAAAGGCACTGCGGACACGAGTTCGCTGAGGATGGGGGAGGCAGACTTTAGATCTCAGGAGCAATGGGAAACTGAACATCATGCTGCCTGTCGAAGGTCCGAGATGGAAAAACACATGCAATATCATGCCATGCAATACAGCAATACACAATAAAGACCAAATCCAGCACTTTCAAAGTCATAGACTCGAAAGACCCCCGCATTCGAAGCAGCACTGGGGGGCCCCGGCAGCCATGATGAGGTTGAAGAGACCCACCATCACAAGCCTCAAATCCATTCAAGTGTCTCCAGGGTCGAGTTGACCAGAGTGAGTGGGGTCAGCCTCTCAGGCGATATGGGGCACCACTCCAGTTAAAAACAGCTAGTAGCTGCCAGTTCTTCGAGGTTCTTGGCTGAACACTTCGACGAACCTGGTGGCTTATGGTGATGTTTGGTGTACTTCATGGTGTTTCTTTGAGTGCCCAATTTGCATGTTTTGGCTGGGGTGCTGCATGCACCACAATTTGCTCGAACAGTAGCACACTGGGGGGTCTTGCATCAGATCAGCGCATGGCTGAACATGTTACATGAACCAAGCAAACGCCCCAGCAAACGCCACAAAGCGTCCGTGATGCGTCCGGCCAAACTCGCCAGGGGCACATCGTCACCAGGATGTATGCGATGTTGAAAGGGGGGCCGTATTTCACAAAGAGCTTCTCAGGAATGGGATCGCCTGGCGCAAGAGCTTCAGCCAGGGAGATAGGTTTAGAAGTTGAAGCGAATTTCAGCATGCGCTCCAAGGTGTCAAATGATCCCACCACCGCCCCCACCCCCACAGCGGCTTGAGCCCCCACCGGAAAAACAGAACTCTAGATGAGTCTACGCAATGCCCGCCCCGACCATCCCGACCCCCCACTAAAATATACTAAAATGACTAGTAACAAAGGGCATCGCTACTAGGAGCAAGGACGCTACTAGAGGCTCCTGGCTCCTGGCCGTACTGCTAGGAACAAGAAGCTACTAGGAGCAATGCTCCAAGTTGCTGCTTCAGCGTCCGCACACTCAAACGCTCCAGATTACCTTAAGGACCCACCAGTCACCCACTCGAACCACCATCGATCCACACCCCCATGTCTCCGGTGCGACGCTGGCTGGCCTCCATAGGTCTCGCAGGCGTCCGTGAAGCATCGGAAGAGCGTGAACATGGCGCGATCCACCGAGTGGAACTCTTCCAGGTCACTGGGACGGGCGTCCCGGCGGACGGCGGACGACGGCCACGTCCCACGTCCCGGGACGGACCGTGGGCTTGGTCCGGCCGAAAGCGGAGGCGCGCGGGTGTTCCGGTGTAGCAGGGGGGCGTAGATCCGGTGAAGCAGCGCGTTTTCGTGGGGGAATGGGGCGGGTCGGTAGGAAACGAGTCACAAAGCAGTCCTTCTTGAGATGAGCGTGACCTAGATCTTCCATGATCTTCCTATGTCCGCCGAACTGGGCTGGGTTTTTAGACGAAAAAGCAGAAACTTTTGGCCTAATTGGTAGACCCAGGTGTGCTCTTTTCGAAAGGGTTGTTTTCAAGGTGATCGGATTCCAACCAAATGTCGAAAATCCTGGAAGGGCGGACATGCACTTCGCGAGGGCCAGTCTTTGTCAATGAAAACAACCAATCCACCAATCCTGCTGTGGTCATTAGGTTCACGAAAGGTCCCGGCAAGATGGACCCCAATACTTGCTTGAGCTACAGAAAGAACATATACATAATTATCTAATATACCGATCAACGTGATAGGCATCGACCAACATATCTCCTAAAGTCTAAGTGCATGCCTAAGCCATCTAGACCCACCCACCCCACACATCTTCCCCCATCTTCAGGAAAAAGAATTGTTGAAAGCAGCACAGTTTGCGTGATGCCGGAGTCACTCTTTGAAGAGGCTCTGCATGACTACGCTGATGGTGAAGATCACCGAGATCAACAAAACTAACCTCGGAGGACCAGCTGATGGTGAGGGCACAAGAAAATTGAAAACAGTAGGGAATGAAGGGTGAAACCACAGGTGCCCGGATTTCAGTGTTAGATATGCCCTCCAGATGTTTCTCTTAACCTCTGATTTCTCTTGAGTTACTTGACCACGGGAGCTCTTCCATATGATATGGGTACTATTCCACCCCAAAAAACTGGTTGGTGCTTGCAACTCACGAACAAAAAATAGCAGTCTGTGGGTTCAATCATCCCAAGTTGGGTAAAGGTTGAAAAATGTCGAACATCGAAATGTCATCAAAAAATCTGAAAGAATTGAAATCGAATGTGGTGGTTGAAACTTGAAACACCCAAATTCTGGAAACCGCAGCCGTTCGCTTCTTCAAAATTCGTTTCAACCACCACAGCCGTTCGAACGACCCGCTTTCACCAAAGCCGCGCCCAAAGGAGCGCGCGAAGTCCCGAGAACAGGCCCAAGGCCATCAGCTTCAGCTCCTGCAGTGAGCACAGCACTGCCGCACGTAGACCACAGTAGAATGTGCAGACTCAATTGAAGCTTGGGTCACTTGAGCCCGCAGTCATGGAGAATCAACATGTTCCAAGTAAATACCCTGCAATCTTCTAACACATGCACGCTTGTTGATCTCTTTTGTGATCCTAGGGCGTTGATGAATCGTATATTGCGGGAGCTCTTTTGATCTCGCAAAGGGTCTAAGTGCGGTACACATGATTTGTGTGTGTCATCCTTTGGAACTGGAATGCCTTTTCTTAGCACTCCTCCTTGGAACATTGAGCCCTTTTTGGCTTGTATGTTCCACTAAAACTTCAGCTTCGGGCTATCTAGGAACTCCTGGTGGCGTTCCATCTTTTTGTACACTAGCAGTCTTCCTGCCGCATCTCCGGCTCTGTCTGCACGGAGCCACTCGTGATGGAGCTGTTCCATGTGCTCCTTCGCTCTCAGCCCGGATCTTCCCTCTGGTAGGTCTAGATCTCCAAGGTCTTCCATTTTCATTTTCTTTATCTCTTCAATCTTTTCATCACGTTGCCTCTTTCGTTCAGCCTGCCTTGCTTGCTCGACATCATTGTCTTCTGGATCACTCTCAGGCTCTCGTCGTTGTAGGTACTCCATGGGGATGTCAACCACTTCTCCTGAGTCTAATCGGACTTGGGCTGTCTCTCCCAACTCCAGTTCTTCTCCTGGTACATCATCTGGAAATGCACCAGCAAGATCAATCTCCTCATCCTCAAAGTCATCGATGCACTTCCTGATCAGATGATCTTTTGCTTGTGCCTTCAATCTCTGAAGATTGTAGTTCCTGTTAGACCGTTGTAAATAGTCCCAGTGTTTCCAATCTTCATCAGCCATTTCACCCTCGTCCACGAAGCCCTCATTCTTGCGATGAAGTTTCAACATGTATTCGGCCATTGTCTTCATTGCTGCTTTCTCTGAGTCTTGCTGCCTCTTCACCTCTTTCACATCGTAGTCCACTGCACTGATCATCATCCCATCAGTTTTGCAGTCTTCTTTCAGCTCGTGAAGATCCCTCTTCACTTCTCGCAAGCTCTTCCAGAGCATGTAAATCACTCCAGCAAGGATCATCACAAGCACGAGCAAAATGCTCATTGCCAAACTTGCCATAGAGCTCCAACTCCTGTTTTCTTCGATCATGCACATGTCCTTCTCATCAACATAGTTCCCGGCCACGTGCTCAAGACCCTCAAGAAGTAAGATTCGGTTAAGCAGTTTGGCTAGCCTTGCAATCTTTCCTTTGCTGACTTGCTCATTCACCACTCTGTCGTGCTCTCCTCTTCCCAAGCGTTCATGCTCCTTGTTGTTGACCCTGCACCAGAAGAGGATAAGTTGAATCCTTGCCCTGCTCAGTGGCTTCGTCCCAAGGTCAGCGACATTGTATACAGTCCCAACTGACTTCACCTTGAGCTCCTCCTGGGCAACTAGATCCTGTACCCACAGCAACTTTCCTGCGATGTGCCTTAGCCTCCCTGGGCCCTTCTTGTGGCACAGGTGCAAGGCTGCGGAGTTGTCCACAAGGCAGTGATGAGTCACTACCTCACCGCTCAGGAACTCGAGGCACCTCTTCAAGTAGATACCATCTGCTGCTGCACCAACCAGGGCATTCAATTCTGCTTCTGCAGAGCTAAGGCTCACAGACTTTTGCCCCCTTGAGCTCGAGAAAACGATGGCTCCATTCACCATGTGAATAGCTGCACTTGTTGATCTCCTGTGACTCTTTGAGCCTGACCAGTCACTGTCAGAGAAGGTCTCTAGCAGCCATCTTGAGGTTTCGCATCGCGTCACCAATCCACGGCCTGCCTCCTCCACTTCCAGAACACTGTACTGGCCCATGGTGGACTTCAAATAGCCAATCATCTTAGCCAACTTCTTCAAGCTCCCGGTTGTAGGGCATGCCATGTTGGAAGCCAGCTCTTTCACTGCGAAGCTGATGTCCATCCGCTCCTGGCTCAGGTAGATGCCGCATCCTACCAGTGAACGGTAGAGTCCTGCCAGATCTGAACCTAGTGGCATGGTCCCATCTTGCTCCAACATCTCTTGCCCGCAAGGAAGCTGTTGTAGCTTGACTTTGCCCATCATAGCCTCATACTTCTCCACCATTTCTTCTGCATACTTCCCTGGGTGGATTTTGAGACTTGGCTTGTCCTGGTTCTCTCCCAGCTCATACGTTCTCCTAAGGAACTGGATTTGATCCTGAGGCTTCTCGATGCGCTGGTGGGAAATCTCGAACCTCATAGTGATCTTGGATAAGAACACTTCCGTCACGTAGGTCTTCTTTCCTACGAACATGATGTCATCGACGTGGATCAGTATCATCATCTCTTCTCCATTCCTCCCCAAGCATGGACTTTCTTTGCAGAACTCGAAGACCTGCTCTTCCAGCCACTGAGTGATGCACTCAAACCATGCTTTTGCCCCTACTCTTTGGCCTGGGAGGTTCTTCAGCACTTCAAAGTGCCCATTGAAAGTCTTCAATTGAGTCGGTACTGCTTGATCCACTTGCAGGAATGCATCTTTCACGTCCAGGCTTCCCAACCAGTATTTCTCACCCCCAATCTCCTCCTCTCGCTTCTTCTCGAGGTAGATGAGTGGAAGTAGCCTCAGGGCTTGGCCTCCTGATGCTGGAGAGTGGACTTCATCGTTCTTCTCGTTGGCATACTCTCTTGCCACCATTCTGGAGCGTCTCAACCACTGCTTTCTATCAGTCCCTGGTCTGGGTTTGGCTCTCCAATCATGCACGAACCGTGTAGTGAGTGTCTTATGTCCTTGTAGTGGTCCAGTCATTGCCTTTAGGACTCCCATCTCCTGCAATCTGTCTTCTTCCACTTTATCAGCAAGGTCGTCCACCCACTTGGGAGGATCTGGAGGTACTCGATCAAGTGGTGCATCCAGCCATAGGTCGTCTGGCGGACCTTTGCTGCTGCTGAAAGGCTCCTCCTCTTCGTCCTCTAGGATCCACTCGATCTTCTCCTCATCCCAAATGACATCGTTGTGATAGTACACATCCTCCCCAACCTGGGTAGCAGCGATCCTTCTCTCCATTTGTTCTGCTCCTTCTTGCCTGCTTCTCTTCGGATCTGGACTTTCCATTTCGACTACGTGTGTATTCTTCTCGGTTGTAGGCTTCAACTTCTTGGGCTCTGGCTCACCACCTCCTTCGTCTCCTGCGTTCTTTTGGCCTGAAGGTCTCGGTGTTGATTGTACCGGCACCCGTGAAGGTCCTGCTTGGTTGTTCTCCTCATCAATCACTGGAGTAGGTGTGGACACTGGAATGACTTCTCGTAGTTCCAGCTCCTCCTCCCTAAAACTCACCTTCTTCTCTTCTCGAACTCGCTTCTCTTCTTCATCCTCAACAACTTCTTGGGTGCCCTCTTCATCTTTCTTCTCCTCAATCTTTCCAGCATAAGACCTTGCAAAGGTGATGACGTCGTAGGCCTCCTTGTCCTTCTCCGCCAAAGCTTCCAAATCCTCCACTGAGAGATTCGCCGCTGGGCCCTCCACCAAAGTTGCTAGCCTCTTCGATGGAACAATGCGGCCACCAAAGTTGGTTTGATACTCCCAGCTGTAGGCACTGAAGCCTTTGAAGCACCCGAGATACTGTTTCCAAGACTGGTCGACTCTTCTAATGGATCTACTCAGGAACACCCTGCTTCCATCTCCAACGATCCAGCAGTCCTGAGTTTCGCTCTTCCCCAAGCATATCCCGATCTTCCACCTGGGATCTGCTTTGTAACCTTGCTTGTGCTTGACATAGGCGAAAATGACCTCCCCATACTTGCAGACCTTTCCATCGTAGGGCCTGCCATAGACCAACTCATAGCTCGTCGTGCCCTGTGTAGCTTGGAAACGATTCAAGATCCATGCACTGTGCCTGCAACACCAGCTCCATAGTGGGTGCTGTGCACTGAACCTCAAACCTGTCTGGGTGACGATCTCCTCCATGAGACTGGCTGCCACTCCCCTGATTCTCTGCACTGCGTTCTCTGCCAAGGAATTGCCAGATGAGTCATACAGCTTTGTTGTCCTCATATCAGTCTCCAAGCCAATTGCCCGTCTCGCCTGGACCAACAGCTTCAGCACGTGTCGCGCAGTGGGCTCATTGTCAGCATAGTACGTCACCTTCTCGTGTCCAAGAAGTTGGGTGAATGCAAGAATCTCGTGGGCAATGAGACTTGTTTGATTCTTTGAACGAAGCGGCAACCCCATCAAATATCCTGTTTCTGAGCACACCGCTATCAGCCAGAGAGCTCCTCCTTCGTCAGCCACCCCAGCCTGAGCTTGGTCTTCCTCCTCCGGTGCCCCCAGCGGGCCTATCCCCCGGGCATTCGTGTAGGAAAAGTCGAACGACACCACTGGCCCTGCTTCCTGGGCTTTCCCGGTCCTCCTATGGGGGTCAGGCCGTCCACGGTGTTTGATGCAAGCGGGACACCATGGTGCGTACGGCACGTGAGTGAGTGCGTGCCTTCGCTTCTCCTCTTCATTGGGCTCTTTCGCAATGGACTGCTCCTTGGGGATTCTGCCCTGGGATGCCACTGCTTGATCTGCTAGATCTCGTGCCTGGAGAAGTTCCAACTTCGCCTGATGCTCAACAAGACGGCCAAAGCACTTCCTCTTGCTTCCGGATTGGCCAATCTGGTAAAAGGCACATGCTGCTCTCAATGTTCTAAGAGGACTTTCTAAGGTCAGCTCAACTCCATTGACTTGGATCCTGGCCGGAATGGCCGCTCCAATCTCGATGTGCACCCTCTGATCATCCAATGAAGCACCAGCCTGAGGATCTGGGATCTCTATCTCTCTCCCTTCAAACTCCTCATCATCCTCAGCCATCGGCACAGCATACTCTTCTGCACTGGGCCTTGCTCTCTTCGAAGCTTCATAGTCAAAACCATCTACTTCGAATCCAAGATCTTCAGGTGACTGTCCAACTGTCGATGGTGCCACAAAGGTCACAATCTTTGACATGTAGTGGCCTCTCAACTCCTCAATCTCACTCTCCTGATCTTCCATGGCATCAATCAACTCTGCCATTTCCACGAGTTGCCACTTGTCACCCCGTTGCACCACTGTCGATCGGCTCACACCATCTCTTTGGTTCCTCAGGTCAGGAATGAACTGAGGGTTTTGGAAGCACTGTCCTCGGTGAACACCTATCCATCTCTCTCCATGCTTCCTCCATCCTGTCTGCTCGTCCACGATCTTCTTCAAATTCTCCCCCAGATTGACCTGCAGCATCCTCACGAAACCTGCCAGGGCTACTGTTCGGATCTGACCATGGACCACCAGGCTCTGGTTTTGGAAGCTCAACGGAATTTTGACTTCTCCATTCACCAGACACTGCTCTTCTCCGCTAATCGACCATCCTCCACGAAGAAGATGGCCAAAGGAAAGGATGGGCTGAGCTACGACATCGCTAAAAGTGACTCTCTCCTTCAGGATTACCACCCGATCATCCTCTGAAGCTCGATGTCAACGTCCCTGTGCCCGTAGGTTCGAATGGCCCTACCTTGGGCATCCTGGAGATGTGGTGACATGCCATGAGCCTTCTTCCCCTGCTTCAGCATGTAGCCGGGAAAGATAGAGGCGTCTGCCCCTGAATCCACGATGATGGAGGCCTTCACCTTCTTTTCCTCCTCATCTACTTCTTCCATCCACTCATCAGGCGGCACTTCATGGACCACCTTCACGCTGAGAGTGCCACCATCGTCCTCCTCATCGTCTGTGGCGATGCTATAGAACTCAACTGCTGCCTTCTTCTTCCTCATGTCCATCGACTGCAGCACGCGAATTTCTCCACTGGTCTCCTCATAGTGCCTTAAATCGAAGACCACTGGCTGTGAAACCCGTCGGATAGCCTTCTGCGTCACTTCACTTCCTGGCTGTACCGACATCGTTGTGCTTGGTGATACTGTTGGTGGAGTTGAACTCGAGGGTGCATTGGATGCTGGGGCTTCAACCTGCCGCACACGCCAGCAATCCTTGGCAAGGTGGCCTGGACGTCCGCAAGTCCAACAAGTCTCAACTGACCCCTTGCCCTTGCCCTTGTCCTTTCCACCCTTACCTTTTCCATCTCCTTTCGCCCCACTGACCATCTTGCCTCCTTTGCCCTTAGACTTGCCCTTCTCTTCTTTGCCCTTGCTCTTGCCTCCTTTTCCATCTTTGGTTTTGCCCTTGCCCTTCTCTTTACCCTTCTGAAGTCTGTCTATTTCCATAGGAGCAGCTCCATTGGGATCATACGGACTTGGTGGCATTGGGCTCGAACTCGAGAAGCTCAGTGCAGCTGACTCATTCCACTTGGTGTTCGCTGTATCGTAAGCTAACACTGCTTCTCTGATCTTTGCATAGGAACTGCCCTCATTCAACGTCATGTTGAGATGGATCTTGAGAGGTCCCGAAATGGCCTTCAACAAAACTGCAGCTCTCATGTCTGGCAGCTTCCCTCCTAAGCGCTCATACTGGGTGAAGTGCTCCTCAAGCTTGAGCAGCTGGGGCAGGATCGAAAGCTTCATATTAAAGCTTGGATAGGCCATGATGCCCTGGAGCAAGTTCATGGTGCGATTTCTGGCCTGTGGTTGGCAGTTCAGGAGCATTTGTCTCAAGGCCTCAAAGCCATTGTAGTTGGAGATGTTCTTGATCAATCCAACCAATCTTCCTTGCACCAGACCTCCTAACAAGCTGTATAGGAACCGGGCTCGTTCTTGCTCCTTTTCGTTGAGGAACTCCCAATCCACTTCTTCTTCACTCTTGTCCTCAATCTTTGCCAACTCCTCCTGGTAGGCGCTGTCCACCACTACCAAATACTGCTTGAGACTCCAGAACCAATCACGCCAACAGAGAATCTCTTGTTCACGATCTGCAGGATGGAAGTTTCCTGGTCGTGGTATCAGGCGAGCCAAATCTTTCTTCACCAAACCACCTGAATCTCCTGTCCCAGTTCCACCTCCAGCTGTTGTCGTTGAAGCTGCTTGCACTGCCTGTGTGGCAGCTGTAGCTGTCGCTATGAGGGCTTGGGTCAACTCTTCAACTCCGGGCAGCACCCCGGTTCCATCCATCCCCCAACCAGGCCTTCGAAGAGGTCAAGGGCGATCTTGATCAGGAGGATGTAGGGCCGTCACCTGAACCTCAAAGGGCTTCTTCTCTTCTTTGATGTAGGCAATCTGGTAGCTCGAGATGTTCACCGCTCAGCTTGGTCAAATAGCCACAAGCTATGATTGCGAGAACTTGCAACACCAGTTAATGGAAGCTAGGCGCACGCGAGGCACTGGGGCGTGTACCCTTTGGGGATATGGGTCCTGTCCCCTCAAGAGTCCCCGGAGCTCCAGGCAGATCGCTCAGCGAAATGCCCTTCTCAGCTCCGCTACCATGCAGGAGCTCTTTTGATCTCGCAAAGGGTCTAAGTGCGGTACACATGATTTGTGTGTGTCATCCTTTGGAACTGGAATGCCTTTTCTTAGCATATATTAATTCTGTTGAATACGGCTCACGTAGGCACCCGAGAACACAGGAGCCGTATCCACTACCGTGGCCCAGCCGGGGCTCCTTGAAAGCCTTGAAGCGCATCACACGCACCAGTCGCGCCAGGCGCGCCAGTCTTAGAACCTGCCGTTCCGGCCGGCAGGGCAAGTTGTGGCTGTCTGCAACGTGCCGTATCCCGGCAGAAAAGCCGCATGTCAAGTCATGTAAACGCTAAGGTATGAACTCCCGAAAACTTGCATAGACCCTGACAATGGTCCCATGGAAGTCTACCAAACAGGGGTTTTCAGGTTCCATGTTTGCCTTCCAGGGTGTAGGCAAGTAGGCTCTCCAAAAAATCCCCAAACAATCGCATGAATCTCCAGAATATAAAGAATCAAACCATCAGACGGCCGTCCTCAACCGCCCTTCCAGCGATGAAGCGGGTCACTCTGTGCTCCAAGTAGTGCTCCAAGTCAGGCTTGGATGTGGCCAATCGGGGCCAATGGAGCACAAAAGGTGATTGAAAACCAGCGGCTATGTCTAGACCAAATCAAACCAACGTTGCTTTCATTGTCTTGGCCAGAGCGACTCTTGCGCTCTTGGGCTTTGGTATTAAGATGCCACATGGAAGCAGTTGACTCCAAACCTCGCCGAGCGCAACAGAAATGGGTCGAAATGGGTCACCCATGGCTCATCCTCTCGTGATGAGCGGATCCACTGCCCTTTTGTGCACTTCACTTGGATCACCTGCTGGAGTAGGGCCTCTTATTCGCTCAACAGATCGAGTTCGCCCCGAAGGGTCGGTTCCCAACTCCAACCCCCGGGCCTTCAAGAGGCTCAGCATGCCTAGACGATCGCCGCGGGCCGGGCGGACCCGAGTAACTTGGGTCCGAAGGTTTGGGGCGATGGCCCGAGCGTGAGGGGAGGGCATAGGGAAGGAGAAAGGAGAAACTCAATCCATGAGGTTTTGTACCAGGACCTTCCAAGTCCGGTGGTCTTTGGGACCCCCCAAATCACCTCTAAGAGGCTTAGTGTATAGACTAACAAACACCTCTTGGTTTCGGTCCTGGTAGATGAGGCCTTTGGAGTCGGCTCTTCCTTGTGGACCGCTACTGGCCCGCTTGGACTCACAGGCGGCCGTGCCGGGATTCATGGGCGCCGCGTGGTCGCCAACGAATCCAACCGATGATTCAACCGAATCGGGGCGCCATGCTTCCTAGTTCTAAGATCTTCTAGGCACCCCGAACCAACTGCATGGCTACAAACCTCGAAGAAATTCGAAAAAATTGCCCTCTAAACCACCCATGCGGACCAATCGGACTTGCAGTTGGCCCCTCCTTCCTCACTCCTTCGCCTCCTGCCCGCCTCCTTCGCTGCTGTCGCCACCCATCAAGAAGTAGGAAATGCTCAGCTCAATGCCCGAGATCAACAAACACATGAAGTCGAAGACATTCCAACCTTGCGGGTTCCACGAGGTGGCGGAACAGGCGCTGGACGAAGCCGTCCTCCCGCTCCGAACAGAGGATTCCAACAAGTAATGACTATATATAGATCCATATATATATATATATAGATCCCCAAATGCCCCAAATAGATGGAAAAGTAGATCCCCCGTGCCACTATCTACATATTTGAGGACCATAATTCCAAGTCGACCAACCCGCGACCCAAACCGGAGGGTATTTTTCGTGTAATGGACCATGTCGCCGACTCATCTCAGGTGCTTCAGTGGAGTTCCATGAAGTTGGGTGGCTTGCTTCGTCCCATCCGGCGTGAATGTGACAGGGGCACTCTTACCACCAGGAAGGGCCAGAAATCCGTGTCCGGATCTGAGTGCCCGCTTGCCGAAGAAAGAGAAACCAGTGAAACCAGTTCCCACAAATCAGACTCTACAAGGAGCGGGCTGACACTCACCTTGGGTCCAGACTTAGAACATCCCAAGTGATGGCCGCCGCCTGGGGCGGGTTGGGACCCTCTCTGACGGCCAGTTCCGCGGAGAAAAGGTTAGTGAATGGGGGCCGCGACTGAATTTTGGATTTTTTGTTTTGGTTTTGGATATTTTTGGTTTTTCGTGTTTCGTGGCAGGCGCAGGACTTTGTGGACCTTGAAGTGCAGATTTCGTGGCAGATGCAGGACTTTGTGGATGTGGAAGTTTAGAGTTGGTGGCAGGTGCAGGACTTTGTGGGCCTTGGAGTGCAGATTTCGTGGCAGATAGAAAGATAGAAAGATAAATGGATCGATAGATACGTAGATAGATAGACAGATAGATAGATAGGTAGGTAGGTAGATAGATAGAGGAGGCATATTTGCTTGGTTAGAAAGTTTTGCACCGGGGAGTTCACCTTAAAATTTTGATTTCGTGGCAGGCGCGGGTGTCGGAGATGAAGTGCAGATTTCGTGGCGCAGGGGGGTTTGGGGGGGGCGCAGCGCCCCCCCAAGCAGCACACCAGATCCAAAGGTGAGCAGCTCGTGCTTGCTTGCTTGCTTCCTTGCTTGCTTGCTTCCGTGTTTGGTTTCGTCTCTGCAACGCAAACAACAGGAAAAGCAAATGCAAAAAGAGAAAGGAGAACAGCTGCCAAAAAGAAAGAAAGAAAGAAAGATAGATAGATAGATAGATAGATAGATATAGACAGATAGATATAGACAGATAGATGGATAGGCCAAAAAGCCAAAAGCCACAAAAGCCACAGAAGCCACGAAAGCCAAAAGCCACAGAAGCCACGAAAGCCACGAAAGCCAAAAGCCATAGAAGCCACAGAAGCCACGAAAGCCAAAAGCCACAAAAGCCAGAAGCCACAGAAGCCAGAAGCCAGAAGCAACGAAAAAAGACTAAAAAAAGAAGAAGGCAAAAAAGATATCCAAATTTTAATGGCCCTCCGTTCCACGACCACAAGTTCAAACGTGGCCTGACGTCCTCAACATTTTGGTGGAGCAAAAATATCCCAAAAGCTTCTCCGGCAATGTGAGGGTTCGTCCGAATTGATTGTCCCCGCATGTTCCCGCTTTTTCTCAGGACATCAGGAGGGCCATTCAAAGGTGTCAGGCTTCTGCCCACATCTTGGAGCCTGGGTCTTGACATGTTTTGACCACCTTCCATCTTGCAATAGCCTCACATCATCCCACATCCATGTTTTCCCTCCTTTCCATGCTCCCATGGCTCTTGACCCCAGCTAGGCAACTCCAGTCTGGTCCAACCCAATAGTTGCACTTATCCAGAAAGCCAGCTTTGATGACGAATTCCTTGGGTGAACAAGAGAACGACCAAACCTCAAACGTCAGAAAACACAGCACCAATGCAACAAAAATCCAACAACATCGCAATTAGATGAGATGTATATATATATATACATATATATATATATTATATCTTGAATGTATATAGTATTGTATACTATATAGTGGGGGCATGCGATGAAAGACTGAGAACAGAGGAACGCTGTACACCTCTGCAATTTGTGGATGTCTGGACCACATCTGGTGTCAGGCTTTGCCCAGATCTTCTTGGTACCCCGACATCGAAAACATGCACGCCGCAGTCGTCGCCCAAAACACCAAGGTGCTAAGAAGTAGATGCCAAAGAACACCAGCTCCAAGATTTCCCACCCAACGGCGCCCGGGTGATCAGCACCTCCGAATCAAACCCGAGAGGAAAATAACCAAAACCAGGCGGCGGCAAAGAACTGGGCCGAAGCATGACCGAAACGCCGTGGAGGTCTACGAGGGTTTGGCCCGGCGGAGCAAGTAGCGTTGTGTTGACGGGCACCGGGCACCCGAAAAAGGATCGAAGCACGTAGAAGACAGCAAGCCGGTCACCACACCGGCAGAAAAGACTGAGGACGTGATTGCAGCTGAAGAGCTACCCGTTCTTGAACCAGCACAATCTTCAAGATATCAGATACCGCTCACTCACAATGCGTGCCGCTTATTTGAGCATGGATAGAGCTGATCTGGGCGAGGCCGTTAAGTCTTTGGCCCGCCACATGCAGTCTCCTGCGAGCAAGTTGAAGTGACTCCGTCGCTATCTGGTTGGAAAGCGTCGGGTGGTGCAACAGTTCCGTCCACAGAAGATAAACAACATCATTAGAGTTCTTCTGCGACAGTGATCATGCAGGAGACCTGAAGACGCGTCGTTCGACGACAGGCATCGTTGGTGTGCTGCGAGGTCACTGCATCAAACACAGCAGTAACCTGCAAAGCACTGTTAGTCTCAGCAGTGGAGAATCGGAGTTCCTGGCATTGGTGAAGGCCGGTGCTACTGGGCTCGGGGTGAAGGCCACGATGGACGAATGGCACATTCCATTGCAGCGAACCACGGTTCATTGGTCTTGGCTGCAGTGGATTGGATATTTTCCGTTGCCGCACCATGAAGGCCCCTCAAAACCGGCCCATGAGCACGGAAGGAGACATCGTCTTCTCCACGTCCAAGGCACTGACACCAATGCAAACGGCGTTCACGGCGATCACTGCCACGATGCCGACCTAAGGGTGGCACCGGGGCGAGCCGCTGGCGATCAGGTGGATTGAAAGTAGATGGCACACTACCCAAAAGGTGGTTGATATGGACCCCATCTACCAATCATCTTGGGGTGCCAGTGCCATCTACTCTGAAACCACCATATATTCCAGGCGACTTCCCAAGGTCGCTTCCACAACATGCGCTTCGACAAGTATATAATTACATGCTTAGAGGCAGTAAGGACCGACGGGTCTAATCCATTTAGGGTCCAGATTGGACTTGAAAAGGGGGTGGGAGTTGACCTTCCTTCGCGGCATGACCAGTTCACCTTGACCATCTCGGGGCCAATGGTGACTCAAATCAAACACAAACATTTGCCTCACAAAGGGAGCCCACCTCGCCCAGCACGCTGACTGCCAACGGTGGTGTTGAATAGGTGTCTGGTTGATGGTATCACCTCACGAACGAAAAATAGTAGTCTGTGGGTTCATTCATCCCAAGTAAAGCTTGAAAAAATGTTCCATCGGTCCCTCAGGGTACACCGGCACCCGCTCGGCCATTCGTCGCTCACTTCAATTCGAGGTGCGTCCATCACCAGCCGCACCATGTTCATCATATGCCGCTTACGCAGCGTGTCCCTGTCCTTGGCCGTCATTGAGTCATGAAGCTGAGAAGAAAACCAGCTATAGTGGATTGAGAGTAGATGGCACAGACCCCAAGAGGTGGTTTATATGAACCCCCATGTAAAGAACATCTCGAGGTCTGTGCCATCTACCCTTGAAACCTACAAAAACACACACATTTGACACGTGCAATGCATCAGGGATGCCTTCAGAAGCCTGTGCTCAAGGACATGCCAAGCTCTCACTCAGGTGTCACAGCACAACTACCCACAGAACAATCAGAGCCCCTCTAACCTTGACCGGCTCCCTTCTGCAAGTTGCGTTCTCGTACTTGTAGATGCGGTTCTCCTCGTCCAAAGCCCTGAGTCGCACGTTCAGCTCTGGTTGTTGGGCGTCTGACTCGTTGGTTTTGTTGTTGGGATCTTGGCCGCCTTTTAGGACCCTCAGTTGCAATAGAATTCCAACTCATGTTCATAAAAATTCACTCAGAATGCCTTCCTTCTTGTGACATATTTCAACTGCAAATTCGTGACACACGCCATCGACAGAGGCGTCAGAATCCGCGTTTCATCGACCATCGGTTTTCGTCGGTGTCCCTGCTCTGATTCGCTTCGGTTCCCTGCGCGGGTGTGTTTTGATTCACTGACTGGTTGGTGGTTCCAGTTCACGAACGAAGAATAGAAGCCACGTTGGACAACGCTTCCAATAAGAATATCTGAAACCACCACCCCAATGAATTGATGTTCACCAAGCCATGTCTACCGTATGCAGGGATCAGTTGGCATGGTGGCGGCTTATAAAGCAACACAGTCCAAGGCACAAACATGGAGCTGCTGCGACCAGCCAATGTGAGGCTTGACCCTCGAGTCCCAACCAACCGAGGCTGGACCCTCTCTGGGCGGTCGCAGCGCCACCCACGGCACGGGCACGGGCCCAACACACACCGTGGACGACGCCCGGCCTGTTCAAGGCTTCAGCCGTCTCAACGATATCCTCAGAAAGGCGCACTCAGGACATTGAGACAATGAACACTTCTCTCTGTGATATGCATATATATATATATTGCAGATGCCCCAACAAACCATCCGTCGTGAACCCCCAGCCAGCTCCTTCATCTATGCCAAGCCACCTGAGCTGCACCTTCCAGAAATGCGGAATTCGCTCGCAGGTCCAGAAATTCACGTACCGTGAGCTGCTTCTTCCTCAGCAGGGCGAACGGAAGGGCGAAGGCCCGCCCACACGGTCTGCCCGATTCATTCCACACCAGGAGAGCGAAAACGAAGCAAATAGGAGCTTCTGGCATGCAGTGCGACCCTTGATCGAGACGCCAACACCACACCACCATAGTCATCATGTATTGTAACATTATGATTATATAACAACATCTACAGTAGTTCCATGTAGTTCCACAAAATCGACCAAGAACCAGCCAAATGTTGCCCAAAAAAGTCGCCCCGTGATCTTCCCAAGCTTTAACGAATCCCAACGCATGCCACGCATGCCAACACATACATCTGTGGGTCACAGCCACATAAAGGGTTTGGGGCGCCCAACTTGACATGTGTGGCTCCAAAGCCCTGCTTGCCCGAAGACCCTGGCTTTCGACGCCTTTCGACCCTTCCGACTCCCAAAAGAGCTCGTCGCACCGAGCATCAGCTGTTCCTCGCTGACCTCTTCCACCAGGGAGTATCGCTTCGAGACACGCGTCTTGGTGGGTTGCGCCGCCAAATACGTGCACAGCTTGAGGACCTCGGCCACTTGGACGGATAGGCCCCAGGGATTTGGGGAAGCCGCCCGACTCAACGGAAGCCTCGGCCTCCCGTTCCCAAGTCAAGTGGAGTGGCTCCTTGGAGGCCTGTTGTCCTCTACTAGCCCAAAGAGGTTGGCCCACCTCTTGTCCCACCAGTCCGGAGGCTCGGTGCTCTGGTGCTCTCTACTTGCACAGCCCGGGGGCGCTCTGCAGCGTCAGCTGCTCCCCATGGTTCAACGCCAAGGCTAGCAGTTCGTCTCCAGAAACCCAGCCTGCGGTCCCGGACACCGCACGCGCCGCACGCGAGGATCGGTGAGAGATGGTGAGATGGTGGGTCTTCCGGTCTTCCGATCCCTCTCAGGATCAGGCTTAGTTGGCTTACTTCAACTTGAGGCTTCGGACATCTTTGGGAAAATCCTCCGCAAAAAGTTGGGTCAAGCCCTAAGAAGGGGGCTCTCTGCCATCGCAAGGTTGCTCGGAGTCGCCCAAGTGGGTGCTCCCAGATGTCTCCTAAATGAAATGCGCAAAACCAGGATGCTCATCACCCGACCCGTCAACAAACAAGTGAAACTGTAAGCCCTGTAACCCCCTGGGCATCAACACTATACAAAGACTGGTCTTTCCAGGAATTTCCTGTGCTTCAGTTGGTGAAATCGACTTGGACTTCTAGGGTCACCGCTCGAAGTGAGAAACGCTGAGCCACCGTGAGAACGCCCCGAAGAGGTCCGATTTCCGGCGTCCGTCTATCGGTCACCGCAGCGTGTAGGTGGGCGGATCTCTTAAGTTTGATCGCAATTTGGCATTTGGCGGCTGTTTGGCATGGGAAACCACAAGCTTTGAAGGAAATCATCCAGAGTTGACCCATGGCTATGCCATCCGAGAGGGCAGTCACGGTGGTTTGGGTCGAACTCTTGGGCCACGACGGGCGGGGAAGCGGCGGCCAAGCGGCCATTGCTGGAGACATCACAACGAGCGAACTGGTGCTTCAGTTCCTCGATGTGCGAATCTTCATCATCGTCCACCTCCTTGACAATGACGCTGGTCGTCCGAAAACGACCCCCGGCAGAAAGCCCCGAAGTAGCAGGCAGAATGATGTGCAGGTTCAATAAAAGAAGACCTGGGTAACATGGAATCATCACTGGCTCATGCTGCAGGATTCCCATGGAGGCCGGTTCATGGATTGAACCCCACCTTCCCACTCGCCCCAGACCCGCCATGCACCAAACAACCCCCCTCTGACAGTTCCTCTACAATGACAACCTGTCTACGGTTGTGTATGTTTTTTTAAAAGTAATATATATATATATGCATAAAAATACATAACTACATATATATAGAGAGAGAGAGATACATATAGAGGGAGGGAGTGAGCAGGTTCAATTGAACATTCTGATCTTTTGTGATCTTACCTGGCGGCCCACTTCGACCACACCATAAAAAGTGGCGATCCACAAACCTACCTAGCTTCACCGGTCACTCGTCCTGGCCTCACCCCAGCCCCCCAGAAATCGAGAGTTGAGGATTCTGCAACACCTCGGGCTCCCAACCGCACCCTGCCAGGTCCCAAAACAGGCGCATGGATGAAAACATGTTCCTATACTGTCTATATGTCTGCATAAGCATAAGTCCGCCTGCTTGCTGTTCACACACATCGACCCGCCCACCCACGCAGAGGCCACCGTGGCCACGCCTGAAAGGCTTGCCTCAGCGAAGGTGACGGGGCAAAACGACCCCCATGGAGAAACTCTCACCTTTTGACATGCAAAAATGATATAATCTAAGTCTGGTCAACCGCTGCTGTTCTTTGTATAAACCATGCATCACTCAGGAAATGTCTAAATGAATCAAATTATGCCAGCATAGACCCCAAACAGTTTCAAACGATTCGTTTGAACCAATATTAGTCAAAAACGATTTCTTGGCACGCCCTACCTTCCCCCCAGATCTAACTGCTTTATCAATGATTTTTGTCGGCATCGACATCGCTAATTGTTTGGCCAAAAGAGAAGACAAGAGAAGAGCAGGACAAGAGGAGGACAAGACCCGGCCACAGAGCCAGGCCATAGAGTTCAGGGGCGCGGCCAGTCAGTGTGGCCAGCTCTATTTTTTCTAAGATAGAACCCCAACAGTAGACTGTTTGCGGAAAAATTATCAGGTGATCTTACTGCATAGAGAATCACCTTAGTGTACTGCATTGAGCATCGTCTGTGCCGTTCATCTCCGAACGCGCGTTCTGGCAGGTGACCAGATTTTCTTCCAGCAAACAGAATGACTTCTGCCAAATCCACCGAGTCCAATCTGAGAAAAGAAATGGACTTTTCGGGGAAACCGCGCTGCTTCGGACGCTTAGTGTTTCCGACTGGTGGCCAAAAAGGAAGCTCCGCCACGGCCAGGTAGGGCCAAGTAGGGGTAGATGGCCAATCAGGCCAGCTCTTTGATGTTGAGAACGGACTCATGGGCTTCCAAAATAGGGCAAGGGTTCATCCACAGTGGTTTCAGGTTCGATGGCACTGGCACCGTCCTACGAGGCCTTTCGGAGGCGGGTCCATAAACCACCAAACTTGCTGTAGCAAAAGAACACATTACAAGACAATGGAGCCTAGGAGAATCTGTTGGCCACTACAGCACGCAAGCAGCATCTTCATGCTTTTTTGTGGGAAAACCTCAAGGATCCTCATCCCAGCCTTTTACCGTTGAGCCCGGTAACAACACACTGGTGGTAGTGCCAAAAAAATAGAATCAAAAGGATTGAAAAGGTATAGAAAGTATTTAGACTCTATAGACTGAAATTCCTGCACAGCAACCTTGACCAGACCCCATCGTTGGGCAAGGCTTAGCAGCTTAGCAGCCATTTCGCCCGTTCCCAAGACTGTCCGGCAGTCTCCGGGGTGTTCTGTTCTCAAAGCGAGTGGCTCTTCTTCATCGTCCTGCTCTTCATCTTCAGGGCTGGGCTCCTCGAAGGCGATCCCTTTCCGACCTCAAAGCCGTCGCGCTTCCGCTCGCGAAGAGGGCCGATGAGACCAAAACCGGCGACCCAAATCCAGGTATTTGGGGCATCCAACTGAGTTCCTTTCACCGTGGAACCTGGTAGATTCGTGGAGTTTCACCCAGCACTCAGGACATTCTGTAGGTCTCTTCGCAGTGGTGCGAATCCTCCACGCGTCGTCCATGTGCCCGCAACCAGGCATCCCCTAGGTCCAGCTGAATTGTGGCCTCCACACACTGCATGGATTGTAGTAAGCCCAAGCGCCTCCCACCGGTATATCTACTTCGTACCCTCTATGGCCAAACCTAAGCAACCAGTGGACTTGAAGGCAAGTGTTCGACGATTCCCGTGTGCTTTTGAATGGCCGGCTTCATGTCCAATCATTGATCTCCACAGCAGAGAAACACCAAATGGAGGCTTTTGTGGGAGCAAAGGCCACTCCCCCTCTTTAGTTCTTCAGCCTTGATCAAGAAAATGCCCACATAATTCAGTTCCTAACCTTCCAGCCTAGATTGATACCACTGCGTCAATTGGGTGTGTGTGTGTGTGAAGCCAGTCCAAGGCCAAAACGATTGAACGTGCCCCAGAATCAAAACAAACGGCTCCCCATTTCTGGATTTGAATTTCCTCGTGAGTGGCGTTCCCAGCGGTTTTCGTGTTCCCAACAACATGGAACTAAGCGTCCTATAAACTGTGTCCTTCGGAATCTTGGAATTGGATACTTGGGTAGGCTCTTGAACCGGTAGATCTCGTACTCCAAAAGAGTACTCAGTAAAGGCTCGGTTTTCCCAGTGGTAGGCCCAGCAACTTAGAATTCATATCCACCAGAGTCCAGAGGTGTCGAACATGTTTCGAAGTGGCTCTAAGACTCTGAGCTGCCACTTGATTCCGCCAAGGAGTCTTAGTTCAATGTGTGATCGAACTCGAACCATTCTGTGCCAAAAAGGGCTCTCATTCCCAAGGCCAAGCATATATGGCTGTCCAAAACCAGCCCCTTTCACCCTGGTAGAGTCGACCTCCTTTGTAGTCTCTGTTCATTTGTGGTACTTGACCGGCCCCCTGCTGGACGGTCCCCGGATGCCATGACGACCCTCCCACCGCCAAGGTCCGAGCCACGGCCTGAAGAATTGCTCTCACGCTCCACCATGATGTCGAGGTCCCGGAAGTTCTCGGGCAAGCTGATCTTCTCGGAGCCTGACTGCCGCGTGACCTCGGTGCTCGGCAGCGCAAGAATCAGGTGATGGATAGATGGAGAGACGTCGCCCGTTTTGGGTGTCGCACTGGATCTGCGGCAACTTCTGAGGGGAAAAACTCCATCCATTGGACTAACTCCATCCGGACCAAAAAAGGCCTCTATGGAAAAAGATCCAACATCTTCTCAGCCAGTTTCACTGACATACCGGAACTTGTGGATCAAGGGGAGCCTCCTGCCCTCCCAATCGCCACGCCTCCCGTGGCAGCTGTTGGCCCAGGCGAGAGTTGATCTGCTCCTGACCAACCAAGAAGAGATCGACCGGTGCGACAGCCTCCAACAGGTCTCTTCAGGGGGACAGTGTAGGCCAGAATCATATTATACGAAATGAACTATACAAACTGTGTGCATGGTGTCAGGCATGGCCGAGGGAACTACTGAAAATTCCAGGTGCTTCAATGAGGCCTTACCAAAATGGGGCTTAAGCTCGGGTCGATGGCGGTCGATGGCGCCAGGTCACACGAGCTGGAGCCGTGTTCGGATTTCTCTGGCTGTCGAAACATGAGCCTGTTCGAGCCATGGGCTCGGGCCGTGTGAGAGTCAGAAGTGAGAGAGCTGTCCGCAGGCCCAGGGGGGTCCCCATGACTCTGATTATGGAGGGGGCATTCTGCTTGGCAGGGACTCGACGTGACAAATGTTGTGTGAGTTCTTTTAGGTGCGAACTCCACTTCAGCTAATGCAAAGTTCAGAAAAAAATAACCGCAGGCCACACAAAACTGAGGGAAGACAGGCAAAACTGAGCAGCTTTTGGAAAGAAGAAGACTATCGACTATCGCTACATTCAACACTCACTCCATCTCACCCCCCCCCCAAACGGCTCCAGGCCCCTAGAAAAGGGGTGCAAGCGGAGAGACGCCGTCCGTCCGTCGGTCGGTCCGCCTGCAGCTGGGCGATCTTCAGATTCACCTCGGCGACGGCGACGGTGAGGTCCGAAGTCGTTGCAGCTGGGGCGGGACGGAGGGTCTCCTCCCGGGTGTACCGGGGTGGAGACGCCGCATCATGGCAGCTTTGGAGAGGTCACCCTTTCTCGGAACCGGAGAGGTGGAAGAAGTTTCCGTTCCGAATGACTCAGTTGAACTACGACAAGGGGACACCTGTGTGAGCATGTAAGGGGAGATCATAACATCTCCACTGAATCTAAGTCTCCATTTCTGCACCAGTTTCACGAGTTCTGGAAAATGGCTGGTGAAATCTGGGTACTTCTGGGTGCTGAAACCCAGTTGCATCTTCGATCACTTGCTGCACCGACAGGAGCTGCCCCGACATCGACGTCAAGAACTCCGGTGCCACCGGGAAGTCCTGGCCGGTCACGGACCGGCCCACCGAGCCCGCATAGCCCGGTCTTGGGACATGGGACATGGTTTGCGTCCCGAGGAGTGACCGTCTAGATGCAGGAGTCTGATATCGGACATATGGAAAGGCGTTTCAACTGCCACCTGTCGCTCGTCAACAAAAAAATATGAAATTTGCCAGCAAGCGACTGCAAAGCTTCTCGCTGTGGATATCCAAGTAGGTCCCCAATACATACTGACTATCCAGACTAATTATATCTGTTTAGATGTCGTATTTTTGTCCAGGTGGGACACCATGAAACCATGTTTTATGTTATTACCACCTATGACTCTATGACCACCAACATGGCCTGTCACCTATAACCACCTTCTCAGCTTCGACGAATCCTCCACCAAGTGCGCCATGAGCATGGGCTTCTCAGCACTCACCTGCCGTTTGGAGACGACGACGCTCCCGGTCCGACGCGTCGGCACGACGACGACGTCTGCACCAAGTGCGCTGCATCGGGTCGACCATGTTCGGACAGATGTGCAGGTGGGCCATGCGCCACCGGTGCCATGTCACCCCAACGTGAACACCTTAATCACGAGAAAAAAACGTGAACACCTTAATCACGAGAAAAAAATCGAAAACATCACGAAACGAATCACAATGCAGTAGCGTAGACTCTTGATCAATAGACTCTGGTCAACTCTTGATGTTCATAAACCCCATCCATTGGATTGTAAAGCCTCTTCATTTTGGTTTGTATACATCAAGCGTCGACAGTCGCATGGCCAGTCCATGATGTTTTTCCCGCCTTCGTTGCCATCATATCCGCCCCACAGCACAGCGCCATGTCGGGCGTCAACGGCTCTCCGCCGTGAGCCAACAAGGGAGACGGATGGACCGCGCCGTTGGGAAAAAACAGGCCAAAAGCGCAAAGGATTACAGTCTGTTACAGTCATCTGACGGCGATCCGGTCGGAACCTCCTAAGACTATCTTTTGATGTGAAAAGCATGGTCCTGATGCGGCGCTTGCTGTGGACGCTCTGCTCGAACCACCTGCAAAAACATGGGATGCAGCAGCTTTGTCAACTTGCCTGGCAGGTTCCTTCAGGCATCCCATTCTCCACAGCTTGCTCGGCCCAGCTTGGTATGAACAATGCATGGTGACCGCCAACCACAACAACCCACCACCTGTTGCAGCTGGAACCTCAGGTTACACGTGTGACGTGTGAAGAAACCGGTGGAGGAGACCGGTGGGGCATTCTGTCACTCAAGTTCAACGCCTGAGCGCACCTTGAGGTAGACTCTTGATCAATCAACCCTCCCCATTTGGATTGAACAAAGACCTCTTTATATATGGCGTGGCGTATTAATCAAGAGCCCACCTTACACCGTCTGAGTTGGATGCCCCAGTCCGTGGCTGGGCGCCATCCTCCTGAAAACCGGGAACCCCGAAAGAGTTCGACAGAACCTGGGTTGCCGAAACGGCCCCCGGAGGCATTTAGCGAAGTGGCTCTGGTGGAAATCCAGAAGCCAGAGCTGGAAGTCCAGAGAGTCCAGAAGACATTCCATGTGCACGCCGTTGTCCTGCCAGTCCTCTGCTGTCCTCGATGGATATGGTTCCCTTTTTTTCCTTGGATCATTTGCACCGGATCATCTCGTGCTCCAGCGTGTTCAGCGTGAAATGTCGCCCCTCCTGAGGCGTGTGGAGATGGCGTGTGGAGATGGGGAGATGCACGACCCACCTGCCAGACCTACCAGGTCTGAGAATCACCCAACAACCCCACCGTAGGGAGGGGACAATGTGTAGGGGACAAGTCATGGGACCCGGGAAATATGGAGAATTCTGAGATTCGGTGTGTTTGTTCTTTTCCTCAAAATCCACGCGCGGCGGCTGGGTCATCAAGCTTGTCTTTGGAATGAAGTGATTTGGTGCAAGACATGAGCAAAAACACCAAAGTCGTGGAAGGAGAGTTGAGTAGATGGCACAATCCCCAAGCTTGGTGCTTTTTAATTGGGCGCCCATCCAAAAGACCTGTTTGGCTTTGTGTTATCTACTCTGAAACCGCTGTAAATGAACCCTCCCCCTTTTTTGGAAATCCATGAGTCCGTTCTCAAAATCAATGAACCGGCCTGGTTGGCCATCTACCCCTACCTGGGCCCTAGCGCTGAACTGGCCATGGTGGTGTCGTGACGGGAAGAAAATAACCGAGAGGAACTTGACAACGCTCCACGTCTTCCCAACGTTCCACGTCTTGCACCTTTGATCTCTTTGAGCCGGCCTCTCAACCCTCTCAACCCACCATGCCGCTCTGCCCCTAATGAAGGTCGAAAACGGCCTCTGCTACAAGTCATGCCCGATATATCCCGATATTATATTATGGATGCTCAAATGTATCTCACCTGCTCCCAAAGGGGAAGAACCTCGTAGTGCAACAAAATGAGGCAGCGTCCTAAATGGATGTGCCAATCATTCATGAAGTTCCAAACCACTTCCAACTACACACACACACTCACACCGAAGGCCAAGCCTCCCGAGATTTCAGGCCGCATCCTGATCCTATTGGTCCATCCACCATCGGTCTGATCGATCGCTTCGATTGCCCCAAGGAGCATTGGCATGAACGACGTCCACATATTCACAGCGGTGGTCCTGTCAGGCGCGACCCGTGGAAGATGATGGGAAGGTGTGCAAGTGTATATATACATATGCTACAGCATCTATACACGCATTTCTGTGTATATATATATATACATACAGTATTTGGTGTTAAGTATTGTTCTTATATGTATAGACATTTACAAATAATACAAAATAAGAATAGTATAATATAATATAGTATAATACCATATATAATATAAAATAATATAGTATAATATAATATAATATAATATCATATAATATATGTGTGTGTATGTATGTATACCTCATCTATGGCTACACTGACTGAAGTCATCATGGAAGTGGAAAACCGTGGAACACCACATTTCTTGAAAATGGTCGTCCTTTCGGGGAGTGTCAGTGGAAGAGTTTTTGCGACTACACCTTTCCAAGCCAGGGAGTCTGCACAGGTGCTTTTGTCTGAGAAGGGTATGGCCAGATTAAAGCCCCATGGTTGATCTCTCATCTTGGAACCAAACCTTGCGCCCTTGCCCCTCAAGGGCTCAAAGGAAGCGAAAGCTCACTGCTCCCATTTATTCAAAACCAACACGAAGCCGCCATCTTCGTGGGATGTTCCAAACCACTTGTGTGTTCCCATCTTCGTCATCAAACCGCATCTTCTTAGGGGAACAAATCTATGAGCCCATCCTCGCCAAGGAAGGCCAATAGTTTGTTGAAGTGCTCCACATCCAAGTCCTGCCGCTTGAAAAGAAGAAGGGGAAGGAAACAAATCGTTCATTCTCCCCAACTGCCAAGGAGAAAGAGACCTTGAATCTCTACACACCTTGAACGCAATCCTTAAACCTTCCCATGCTTCAGGCAGAAATCTGCCCAAAAAAATCACAAGAAATGACCATGTCCATGTGTGTCACTGTGTCACCCTGTCCTCCATCGCCAGGCTATAAACCCGGTCACGATGAGCCTCAGCGAAGCTCTTCATGGCCTGGCCGGCGAGAAGAGGAAGAACGCAGCAAGAGCGAGCAGGGGGGTGCAGGGGATTCTGAAGGTCAAGAAACACCGGGCGTTCAGCTTCAGATGTATGAAAGAATGTGTTAATTTCTTCGGTTCCTTGGGCGGGGGGGGCCCTCTTCCAATGGCACTTCATGTTGCAAATGTAAAGACTTCGGTGAGAGGTCCATCTTCCCATCTCCTTTCAGCAACCCGACTTGCTCAGCCACATGCTCCGTGCTTCCCACGTGGCGTTCTCAGTAAGTGCCGCTCGGCGGTTCCGCCGAACGTTCGCCGCCGCGAGCGGGAACGGCCTGGTTGGCTTGTTGGGTGACAAAGTACTGGAAATCTCCCAGCCTTGCGTGAAAGGCTGTGGTTGTCCCACGGGGAAAGAACCAACACCAGAAGTAATCGCATTTCCAATGTTCCGGTGGTTTATGACTTGCGGTGCCAACGCATTACGTTCTGCGCACCTGCTTTTGTGGCAGCCACCCAGCCTGGACTTGAAGTATATATGTGAATTAAATATGCCCGTGCGCCAACGAAAAAAACAGGGAATCCAGAATCAATCACGCAGGAAGAAGCAGGCGATATGGTTCAAGTTCAAAAGAATCCAATCTGAAGTTCATGGGGGGAGATGAGACAAAGAGAACAATTCGCTATCAGCGCATCGTTTCGTGCCTCTCCGGGTAGCGTGGTGCTAAGATTTTCCGAACAAATCTCACCCAAACCCTGATCTGAAAGGTAGTCGCAAATCATAATCACCCTGCCTCTGCCCTTTCGTTGGGAACCCGTTCTAAATCTACACACATTGCCCCGGCAATTTCTTCGTGATCAGGATGTCAACATCAGTTTGGACGACAATACGGACCATGTGCAGAATACCCGTGACACAAGTGGGGAGATTTTCCAACACCATTGGCGCGATTCCAGCCAACTTTTGGAACGGAACAATGGGCTCCATTGCACCTTCGAAAAGGCCCGGCGGCCGAGAGTCCTTCCGAGAGTCCCTCTCGTCCTGCCAGGCCAAGTGGCGCAAAGGACTGGGAGAGCAGCTGGTCTTCCAGGCTTTTCCGGTAGCTCATCACCACCTTCCAAAAAATACGCACGAGATCCAGAGAGGCACCCCAGCAGGGCAATTCTCCAGCGATCTGATGGAAGATGCAACTCAAACAAACCTCCAGCTGGCTCTAAAGAATAGAGGTTACAATCCTTGAAATCGCGGATGGCATGGCTTGGATGACCGTGTTTCGCTACAAACAGGTGGTTTTCCACTTCCATGATATTTCAGGGAGTGTAACTGGTTGGTTCGTTCGTTGATCGAACGAAACCCACCCGCAGCTCAACTCGTCGCTTTGCACCTCGCCTTGGCACAAGGGAAGACCTGGAGCTTGGGCAGCGGCCAACGAGGACAGAAGCGACCCTCCCCGAAAGCACACCACCGAGTCACCTGCCCTGTGAAGCTGGTTGGGTTCAAGCTCCGAGCTCTGAGCTCGTGCAACCCTCAAAGTATGAAGTATATTACACCTTATGGAGGATCCGCTCCGCGGCTCTTCCCCAGATGCTGCCCCATCCGTTGCTGTTTGAAAAGGGCCGAGCGACCCGAAGACAGAGAGATACATTGGAGAATCTTTCCCACCCAGCGATCTCAGTCTCAACTGGTGACTCGGGCCCGGCTGGTAGCGGTTCTTGATCCCAATTTGGTGGGACCAGGAAGTGTGGCCCTAGTAGTGAAACAACATCTAAGTCTACATACACCTACCACCAGCACTAGTTCACATCCCACAAGAGGGCGCCCGTGAACGTGCCTCCAAGAGCTTGGCTAAATCCTGGCAGCGAGGCTCGGGATCTGAGACTTTGTTTTCTATATCCATTCCGTGCCACGGATTTCGGACTAGGATTAGGAAGGGTGGGACTGAAAAAGGTCACATCGGTTGACCCTGGTCTCAACTGGCATGCTCCCTCGAGCTCCTCGAGGTTTTCGTCAAAGCCTCGGCGGAAGCAAAGTACTGGGTTCCCTCACCCTGAATGGCAGGAAATTGAAGTTCCAGTGGATTCCAGTGGTAAACCCCAATCAAGCCACCGTTCAGGAAGCCGCGCGAGGAGTCTTAAGGGAGTATCAAGAGTCGAAGTCAAAACAGTCAGTGAAGCCTCCGGTGGTGGCTGAAGCAACCATCTGGCCTTCAGCCCATTTCAGTCGAAAGGTAGGGTAGCTTCAGGATGCTAAGATAGACTCATGGACCACCATATCCACCACCTTATGGACCACCAGGTCAGGAGAAGCCTTAGACTCGGGAGTCCGCATGTGCGGCGCGAAACAGCCGATCGCTGCTGAGGCCCCTAGCGCCACATGGATTCCTAGGACGGCCCAGTGTCCACAGGCCCAGTGTCCACCCGAACGGGGGGGGGGAAGTGCCAAATCGTGCGTGGTGGGTGGGGAAGTGCCTTCAAAGCACAAAAGGACTTCTTCCTGTCACTGTCACTGCCACGGTTTTGGATGGTGCCAACTCAACTCACGCTGTGCAGATCCTCCACAGCATTCTCGGATTTGGATCGGATGCGACCGATGAAACCACCGAATTCTATACTGCCTGTCGGGCGGATGCTCCGCCTTTGTTGTGCCACTCTCAGATCCACCTAGATTGAAGTCCAAGCTCATTAACTCAAAAAAACACTTAAAAACAAAAAAACTCTTGGTGCACCACAATGTCTCACAGCGACAGTCCCCCAAAGAAAATGGTGTAACAAGTGCTCCAAGACCACCCAACGAGGGGCTGGGGCCTTCAGGATTAGCTGGTGTCACAGAAGGCCATCATCATCTGCCAAGTTGCGCGAAATCCCACCACTCGTGCGAGAGGATTTGGATTGATCTCGCCCAAGAGCATCAGCCGCATGCTGCACTCCAACTCAGTATCATTCCTGCGCGGAATCGCGCGGAAAAGGCTCCTCTTTATCCCTTTGGCACTGCTGAGTTAGGTGATCAGGTGGCAAAGATGTTCGGTCTTCGGGGCTCTACGCCCAGCACCCCGCCCTTTCAACCTCACCTTTGGCCACCGCTCCGCTCCCGGGGGCGATTTTGCGGCAAAAGACTCACGAGCCGAACCATGTGTGGGTCGAAAACCCTTGCGCCAAGGGTTCTGAAGTGGGTAATGGAGACCATTGAAGCCGCCCTGGGCGGGGTCCTTCCAGAGGAATGATGCCTTGGATGGCGCAGGGGACCAAGTTGAAGCACAAACACCCGGAAACCGCTGGTAGTTGGAGTCTTCACAGGTCTGTCGACATCTCTGAGATATCAAACCCTCACCAACTATATATACAGTACTCTCATGGAAGTGGAAAATGCCCCCCCAAAACCGCAATGCACCATATATTACACTGTACTGATAGTAACCGGTGTTCATGTGGCGATTCCTTCTCCCTGAGAAAGAAAAAGCGAAGCAGCGAAGCGTATCCTGTCTACGAAGCGGTAGAGCCTCACGAATCGGTCTTGTCCCTCTTTGTTCACCGAACACATCTCTATACCTGGATCTTCCTTTTGTGCGCATTCCCATATAAACCCCCAACTAGATAGGGATTCAGGTGAAGTACATCTCCACGAAAATGGTATTGGAAACTACCAGTATGATAAACTATGTAAGTATATATACTTCGACTGAGCCGGCTCAGGCAAAAATTGTGCAAAATCCGCCCCTACCCTACACCTACACTTTTACTGGCCTGTGGTGTTACAAAAACATACAGAAACACTATTCAATGAGGTCTTCAGGACCAGGCTTTACTGGGTCAGACTGCACCTGTAGAGCACTGATGCAAACCCTGCCCAGTGGCCAGGCATAGAGGCTGCTGCGTCGGTAGGTCTTCCAGTTCTTCTCTCGCTCCTGCGACCGGCCACCCAAAACAACACATGGCATCCACCCGAGGGCCCGAGGGGTGCATTTCAAAGGTGTCCAGCTTGAACGGCAAAATCAGATTTCACAAGAAAGCGGGAGTTTCGTGTTACTTAAAAAATTTCTGAAGACTCCCACTGGTCCCACTTCAGAGGAAATGCACCCAATGCGACGACGAGTTCAACCATTTCAACCCCCGCAGCTGCAAACCATGTGATGAACCCACATGGCACGAAGCGTCGATGCCTATGCGGCAGCGATGTTTCAGACAGAAGCGTCAGAGGCTCCTTGTTCATCCCATAGATATCGGACCAAAGCCCATAGTTCTCACCTGGACGTAGCTCTTGGAGGCTTGGAGGCTCTTGAAAACCAAACCGCGAGACGCCTGGTGTGCCCAGGTGAGCACGAAAAAAGCCAGGCAGGAAGCCAGGCAGCAAGCATGCTACACTCCAGAAAGCCTTCCTTCTCACATCAACTTCCCTTCAGCTTTTCCTTCGATGTGAAGAACCCAAAGGAATGCCGCATGCAAAAGCCCCAGGAAAGGGACTTGGATCCAAAGCGGAAGCAGGCTAAATTGCGCAGGCCATCTCACCCCATCCTGCCCATCCTTCTGCCATCCGGCACCCACCGAGTGTGCCTTTAATGTCATACCTCAGCTCTGGACAAGGAACAGTGTGAGTCAACCCGCGAGAAGCTCCAGAATGGATGAAAGATGTTACGTCAATCTGGCAGTATATGTGTCGATATGATATGTCATGCCTCCCGGAGTTGAATCATGCATAGACACCTCAAAATCCCAGGTATGTATGCTGGGGGTTCTAAACGGATGAACGTCATGAGTGCTCACCCAACGCCAGGCTCCGGGGCACCGTACCCTGGGATCAGGTTCAGCATGTGCAGCACAGTGGTGGAGCCAGTCCGGCTGCTGGTCACCACAAAGAGCGCTGGGACGCACTCGGAGCCTGCGTCCGTCCGAGGGCTTAGCTAGTAGCGTCCGATCGCTCCTAGTAGGGATGCCCTTTGCTCCTAGTAGCTTCTTGCTCCCAGTAGTAAGGCCAAGAGCCCCAAGCAAATGGCCCCAGAAAATGGAAAGGAGGATGACATCTTACAAGCCCTGCATGCTGCAAACCACTGCTATGCATCCAAGTGCAGCTGGGCTACAGCTATATCTCCTGGCCACGGTGCTGGACGTTGGGCATGTTGGGAGTCTTGAAGGTTGGGTGCTGAGGCACAGCACTGCTGTGCCAGCTCTTCGCAGCGTGAACATGACACCCCTGAGCAGGTGTCTTCTGATGGTTTCTGATCCCATGGGATGTTCGCGGGTCCACTTCTAACTTCCACTGTAACTTCATCAAACGTGCTTACCAAAGCCTGTGCTGCCACCTGGTTTGCTTTGGTACAAGTCACCAGCATGCTGATCCTTGCTGTTTCTTCGAGCCTCTCAAAGACTCTAAGGTTGCTTAATGTGTTGCCGAAGCTCTCACGTCTTCTCATGAGACCATGATCCTCTCACTCTCAGACAGGAAGGGCCCAAGTCTTGAGGACTTGGACTTCCGCACGGTCGGCCCGGTCAGCAGCTCATCCCACCCGTCGGACGGTCGGCCGTCCCATCGAGACTGCCCGGCTCTGCCCGGCTCCTCTGCAACTGCTGCGCGTGTTGCAAAAGCTCCACATGGCCTTGAAGGTGAGGGATGACATGACACAGCTCAGCTGGGCTGTCTCAAAATGACAGCGCTCCAAGCAATGGATGTTATGTCATCTGCTTTCCCAAACTACGTGATTGGGGGACGTCTTTCATCTTTATGCCAAGACACGCCAACACATTGGTGCTTTTGTCACCATGTCCCTGACAGTCTGGAACCTCCTCTGCACTTGACCCAAGCTCAAAAATTTGGGTCTCAAGACCGACCCAGATGCACAATCTACAAAGACTGTGAGGACGACAAATGAGTAAACACCCACTTATATAAGCGGTTCCTGCTTTGTCGTGGTGGATCGAGTTCACGTGGGCATCCAGAGGGTGGTTGACTTGTCCAGCACACCACAAGAGTATCCCTGACTGCACTTGAAGACGTTAAGGGAATCTGGTGACAACGCAAGTTCACATCCAAACAACTCTCGGCCCCCAAGCGACATTCTTCCAGCACCTGCTCGGTAGAGGACGAACATGACTGCCCCATGGCTCTCTGTGTGGAAACCCTCTACATCTTTCGGCATGAGAGGACTCACCTGCCATCCCTGCAACAAGCTTGTGCTAAGCCTCTCTTGCCTCCTCCGCCTGAGCCAAGCAAGCCAAGAAGGCTACCAGGCGCCATGGAACCTGCGGACTACGAGGGCCGAGCTGTTGGGCCTGGACGTCACGAGAAGCAGAACAGCTAACAATACACAGTGGACTTTTGATGAACAAAACTCCGCTGTTTGGATTGTAAAACATCTTCAAGAGTCTACGTTAGAAGGGAACCTCCAGTTACTCCTCCAGTTCCTCCTCCATGCTTTCACTGCTTGATGGGTGGGCTTCAAAGACGGTTCGGATGCTTCGCGTGTTGTTTTTCGGACAAAATATCGGGTCCACGGAAAACGAGTCCGGTAGGGTCAAGCGGGGGGAGGTGCAGTGGAATGAAAAGCATCAATGGCTCTGAAAACCCCTCCCAACTGGCCGTACCGCCGTACCTAGCTGAAACCATGCAAAATACACACACAGATATATATATATATATATATCCATGTTATCACTGCCAATCCACTTCCAAACCACCCAGTTCCATGCCGCTCGGCCGCCCAATGGCCCCCCAACGGCGCACCATCTTCGCTTCTCGGACATGGCCGACTGGCATGAGCTTCCGCCCGGCCAGCTGCAGGAACCGAGATGCAGCAGATCAAGCAGTTAGATCCTACCCCGAGGTCCCCGCACTTGATTTTGGCCGCCACTTTCTGGGGATTACATCCCATCTGGTTTTTGCTGTCTATCCTTCAGCTGGGCATTGGTTCGGAGGAGGCGGGGGACCTACACATGAAGCTGGGACTCTGCAAGCCCCTCATCCACCTTCTAGCCAGAGGTGGATCATCGCTGATCAGGACCCGCTCAGAACGTATCTATAATCTGTGGCAGGATCTGGCAGGGCGGGTGTGTGGGGGACGTGGTCTGTCTACTCTAAAGTGTGGCTGCTGTCTGTGAAGATGTGGAAGAGAGAATGCTGTCTGGACCAAACAGGCCAATGTTGGGCTGCTCCCTGACCGAGTGTCTGAACTTGACTGATTGAATCAATCAATGATTGTTAAAATGCTCAGCGGGACTGGCCCTAAGTCGGAAGGCTTGCTTCACTGACTCATGAACCTTGACCTTGATTCATATAACCTCCCCAAGACATGGATTGTACAATTGTATAACCTCTTCACATAGGTGGATTAGTAAATATAATCAATAGTCTTCACTAAGTCTGTTGCCCCCTAATTAGCCACCTTCTGGGACGAAAACACGGCGAATCCGCACTCCTTTTGGCGTCCCCGTGGGGCGCGCGTGTGTTCGCCGTCCGTTCTGACCTAGGACCACACCGGGTGACCGACAGGGCCGGAGGGGGGCGACCTCAAGGCACCTGGCCTTCCTGGCCTTCCCAAGCAAAACCGCAAGAAGAGGGAGAACAGAAGGTAGACTACCATGACTACCCCAGAATCGCCTGGTGGCAGTGATATGTCCGTTTTGCACGGCCCAAAGCAAATCCAGTTCTCTTGCTACGGCCCACCAAACCAATACTTCTTTTTCGCATCAGCCATCACAGTCGAAACTAGTCTAAGCCGCCTCTCGGCTCTTAAGGAACCCCCTCTCTCGCAAGAGCTGCACGATGATTTGGAACACCAGCACATTGGTGGGGACGATGGATAAAACGAGGATGACCAGCAACAAAAACTGCTGGGTCCTGGCGGCCCATGCGGTTGCACCGGTGGTGTGATGAAACAGCTGCGCCACAAGTTCCCGACCAACTCGTAAGCTTCTCTGATTTGGGGGACGTGGGGGAGATGCGCACCCAACATGCGATGAGAACTGGTGTCGTAAACATGTCTATATAAACAGAATTTACTACTACTTGCGTTCATCGATCTATTGATCCATTTTGACGCCGCATCCACTTGCGAACCTGAACAATGAAACAAATGCCAGGTCTTCAGCGCGCCCGGGATGCCCCTCCGCTTGATCCCGTGTCCTCAATTACATTACATTTGGGTTACCCAACCCTGTTCGATTGATCAACCATCCCGACTTTTGGTTGGCACTGTTCTTCCCGTGGTTCCAACCCTCGAGACCTTCAGGGCCCACTTTCTTTTCGGCCCACCCGTCAGGAGCCTGTAGGTGCTGGACCAATGGTACTCGTTGGCGAGGTAACAGCTGGTGACGCTCACCATGGCCAAAGACACGGTTAACAGGGTCTTCTCCTGAGGGGGTTCCACTCTCCGTTTCCCTTCCGAGGCGGAAGGAAATCCGGCTTTTGGGGGGGAAAGAAGGCATCTATAGTCTGATGAAAGGAGCCCCCGGCATGAAAAACGTGTGCACCTTTCTGTCCGTTCTTTCCGTTTCCTCTTCCTTTTCCTTGTCCTTTTCCTTTCCTTCTTCCTTCTTTTTTAATGTTTCACGGCGTCAAGGAGTGATCCTGCTGCAGCGTTGCGTCAACCCAATGAAATCCCCTAAGATTTTGAGGGATGCAAAAACCAGCTTCTCGACCCACTCACATCCCCGGAGCCGATGCTCATGGTTTCACAAGGTTTCACATTATCACCCGTGTTGAGAGCCACTTTCTGGCCGAAAATTCCAGAGAGCGAGCAAATGACGTACATTTTGATTGTTGGTTTTGCAGTCACTTGCAGCCACTTGCTCAGGCAGCCACTTGGCAGCCACTTGTCACTCAAGCACGTAAACTTCAACACTGTACTTTGAGTTCTTTATGTAAGAACTGTAAGATTTCTTCGTCGCTAGCTCTGCAGAAGTTCGGATGTTTTTCTCGGAAAAGTCTTGGACTATTTCATGATTTCTCCGCGCGCAGCTCGGGAGAAAACCGGAATTTCTTCGCAGAACAGCATTGCAGAAATCTTGGTTTTCTTCAGAAATCATGATATTCTCCGGACAGAAGTAGCAGTCACTTGCAGCCACTTGGCAGCCACTTGCAAGTGGCTGCAAGTGACTGCAAAATGGAAAATCAAAATGCGCACCTCGACCTGTTTTCCTCGGGTTCCGCACAAATGATCCGCACAAGTGCACACGGGCCTCCAGGTTCCAGAAGGAATCCTTGTAGGGCCGGAATTGCATCTCCAGAATTAAGGCTGTGAGCAAAACCAAGCCTCACACGAAGGAGGCGCCGGTCGGCCGATCCCTAATAAAAAGCGCGTTGAAAGGTTCGAGGTGTTTGGATAGGTTTCTATTAGACTGGCAGGGTGGTTCTCCGAGCAGCTGCCGGTGGGGGAAACAAAAAAGCCGAGCGTGCGAAACATCCAATTCGAGCGATGAAGCCTGGTGTTCTGGTCCAACGCCTGGATTGTGTGTCCTCACTGGCGGACCTTCAGCGGCCGTGATAGTGGACCAATCCTTGTGTTGTCACACTACCCTCCAAACTACTATAGTTCTTAAGACAGAAGAAAACCTCCAAGAACCAAGACCCCCGTCCCTTCGTCCCAGTCCCTCTCTCCCCTCACTTCCACACGAGTTCGCCGCTCTGGTCCCAAACATCCGACTTTAGGAGTACCATTTATAAAAAGTGATTTACTTCTTGTCTATTTTGCTTTCCCTGTATTTTAATGGTGGTTTCTGTCGGTTGGTCAGTTCCCCTTCTTTCCTGCTCTTGGGATTACACCGCCAGGCCAAGAGCGGGCCCCAGATCCAAGAAGGGGGCCCAAGGAATCCCAGGCGATGGACCGTCTATCTCTTCTCCAATCCTCTCCACCCGGGCGGCTGATGCACATGATCTGCATCGCGGGGTGAAGACTGACAGGTAAAGCGGCACAAATGACAGCCTCACGACCAGGGTAGGGCCGGGTAGGGGGGTTCTCACACGACGTGGTCCGGCCGGTTGTGTCCAAAGAGCGGTCGACCGACCAGGTTTACTGGTTGTGTCTAGCAGCTCCATGCTCACAGTAGTTCCAACAGCTGGACATCATGACTGACTTCCAAAAAAACGGGGCGGCTGATGTCTATCGCCGTCTTGTGTCCATGTTTTAAACCAATCTGGTGGGTTGCCCTCCCCCCGCAGCCCACGCGCTCTCGCGCTCCCCCACGGCGCTCTATCTCGTCCACTCGCCCTCGCCCTTCCGCTCCGCCACTCCTTCAGTGGTTCCCCACGCAGGCGCTCCGGGGCCCCTCCCTTGCGGGCCGGTGTTTTTCGACAGGTCCAGTACACACATAGTAAGTATGCTGCCACTTGAGAGAGGAGGGGGTGAACGAAAGGTAATACATTTTTGCTAAAGCAAGGAGAACTCAGGTAGCCTGAGGCTACCTTTCGTGACTTTGGGGAAGAAAACCCCCTCTTCAGCCCCGTGCGATCGTTTCTCCGCTGAGGGGCCAAGAAGACCTTCCGCACCAGACGAGTCACCTCCCAACTCTTCAAGTCCTGGCGCTGACACAGCCGCAGGCAGACGGACGGACGTCGGAGGATTCCATCGGGGCGGCTGGGAGAGGGAAGAAGCGCACCAGGGGTTGGGTGGGAAGAAAGCCACACGAAACCATGCGCTACACTTGGTAGGAGATAGGGAGTATGATTTACACTGCCAGACTGACATCGACCTGAAAACCATCAGTTTGTAGAGGACAATGGTTCTGCCAAAGGCTACAAGAACCATCCCCCCACGTTCGAGGAACCATGCTCCTCCTTGTAGGAGGCTGAGAGGTAGAGGTAGTAGGGCGCGTCAGAATGGCTCTTATCGCTCAAGAGCCGCCACCACAAGACTGGGCCAGAACAGGCGATGGCAGCCACTAAGAGCAGCAGGCCCAGCAGGGAGAAGCCAGTGTACATCCTTGGACTCAGGGACAAGCCGGGCACACTCCCTGCAATACTCATGGTTACGTGGATGGCACCACCTGTTTGGTCTTCGGAAAATGTTCATCGAAGGGTCCATTTTCCAGTGTCGTGATTATTCTAGGGAGTGGGGTGTACATCCTTGGACTTCTTGGTGGGAGGTCACCAGTGGAGCCGCAGGGAGGGGACGAAGTTGGGAGGGGATGGAGTCGCAGGGCCCTTTGGAAGACTACTTTCCTCACTAACAGGGTGTTTCCGCTTCCATCTTGGTGGCGGAGACGTGAGAGGGGTGACCGGATTTCCCACATTCAGGGTGACCAAGTTGGGATCCCAGACCTAGATGACCGTGCCAGATCCCTCACTGCAGGGACTTCCAATCTATTGAGACTTGGTCTAAACAGGCGTTCAATCTCTTAGGGCGAGAGTGGATTGCAACTCCCTTCGTACCGCGGCATCCCACCACAAGTCCACAGAAAAAGAACAATTCAAACACACGGCACTGCTTGACCAACCCCACAGAAGGCCGGGATCATAGGTCTGGTGGGGATGCTCAATGATTTTTGCCATCCATGACCTACCGTCATCTACCATCATGGGTATTTAGACCAGCTCGCCCTCCCAAAGCCATCCACTGTTTGGTCCGACCAATGCCAAGCGTCCGATAGGCGCAGAAGAGCTCGCCGCCCTCGTGCTCCGGCTCCATGCGGTAGCATACCAAGTAGCGCGCAAAGCACAAGCAAGCTTTCGGCAAGAAGCAGTTCCTGCTCTGTGAAACGCGCGGCATTTAACCAAAATGGTTTGGTCTGAGTCATGTTAGGGTACGCCCCTGGAGGTGTTCATCTGTTGCTGGTGGGGACCCCTGGGAGGTCTCATTGTTTGGAGACTGTAGCACTCATACATATTCATACTGCTTCTGTTCCTCAACCGTTACGTGAACAAGTTCATGCTGATGGTGAACGCTGGTCCGTGTTCCCAAGTGGGAATGAACCTTTGGCGGCTTGCCTAGAAGACTTGGGATTTGCACAAGGAGTTCCATGAACAGCATCCTGGAAGATTCACACGGAACATCATGAACCCCAATAACACTCAGTTTGTAGTGGAACCCAGGTCTTCCAGAACTGCTCTGGTCAGTTCAGCTGTCTCATGTGCCAGGTGGCACACCCACCACCGCTGCAATGCGCCATCCCCGCATCGCCATGAGCGCGGCGATGGCGCAGAAGGGGGTGAAGAGGGTCAGGAGAGCACGGCACCACCAGTTCTTGGGGAGGTTCCTGAGTGCGACGACATCAACATGGCTGCGCGAAATGCCTCGTTGGGACCCTTCAGAAATTCCAAACGGAAAGTATTCCGACAAAATGGCGGTTACACAGCCGAGGTCAATGTGCACTTTGTCTCCAAGCTAGCGGCTATAGCGAGAACCATGGAGGTTCCTGTTGTAATAGAATATGCGTGCAGTGAGCAAGGACCTGGTTTCGCTTGGGCGTCTTGGGCTATGCACTTGCAGTGCCTTGCAGTGCTATCAGCCCTATCCACCAGAGTACGGCAAGGGAAGGGCCTCCACGTCAGAGAAGCTCGACATCTAATTCACCCATCTCACGGCCAGGTGGCGAGTTGGTTTTTCCGATTTCAAACTCATCCTCTCCCAGAAGTGACGAGCAGCCCACCGCCAAGTCTCAAACAGCCCACTGCCAAGTCTCAAATATCCCTGGATACATCTCGCAGACATTCCGCCCGCTGCGCTGGAGCCTGGAGACATCTCCAACCAACTGGTCTGTGTTTTGGTCGGGTCATCCCTTCTTCCGGGGTCGGGCGAATAGGGGGGTCTCCCCGGACTCCACGCCGCCACACGTTCTTGGAGCCTCTTCGCCCCCCCCTACTCTCACTCCTCCCACCATCAAGCAACGATGCGCATGCGTCTCCAAGCCAAGTGCTTCCCAGGAGTCACGCAAATGATGACAATTAGGCAGGGCAGCGATTCAGTGTTGACTCTATGTACATTGTATCCATCAATGCCAATCCATACCACGCGTATCCCTAGCTCTGCAGGTGCAGAACGGAGCGTCCTCTTGTCCAACTTCGGATTGGATGGCCAGCGCGCCTGAGCCTTCGCCTGCCTCGACTGAGGTGGAGAGGCCCTCCACATAGACATCCAGGTGGGACCTATGGGCGCCGGGAGGTCAGGCTGAGGACATGGGCCATGGGCCCAGAATGGGGGCCGCTTCCTGTTTCGGAGTCCATGTCGAAACATGGTTCAAGATCCCCCCCCGCTACGACGCATGTGGATTCACGTGAAAACCCCGGACGCAAGTGTCAAACCGTGTCACCGTGAAAAAGGAATGAGCCGAGCGGCATGATCCGTTTGAAGGTCGGAGTCTCCTGGACGGCTTGGATCACAGGACCGGCAGCCGCCACGAAGGACATGAAGTGATTCGTCAAGATCTTGCTCTCCTCGGAGGCGTGCGGCCGGGGCGGGAGAGCGGGGCTCAGCCGGCAGCTGGCGTGTTCAGCATGGAGGGCATGGAGGTATGGGGTGATAGGGGTGACCTCCAGGGAGGACTTGGTGGGAAGAAGGGCCTCCTGGGGAGGGAAGGTACTCAAAGGAAATTGGACAAGAAAATATGATGAGCACCAAAGCCACTAAGCTTTCTGATATTGTCTGGTCCCTTGATGTATTTTTGATGAGTATAGGCAAACGTGTCTAATGAAGAATGGAAAGGAGCACGTTCGGCGATCCTAAAACATTGGCAGCCTCAGCAAGACCCGCATAATTCATATGGTAGGACCACCATAGAAAATGGTAGGAACATGGTCCACCACTTTGGTCTATAATACATAGATCCCAAATCCCCTGTCCCCCATGCCGACCTTGCTCATTCACATCCCTTGCCGACCTGTCCGCTTCGCTCTCTCCTCGCTCCCCGGTCCTTCTCGCCGCTCGTGGAGGCCACGCCCGAGACGGAAAGAGCGAAGAGGAGCAAATCCTCCAGCACGAAACGGCCCATTTGCATCCGCTGCCGCCACACCGAGGAGGCACATGCAACACCTGAGGCGGGGAGGGAGCAGGACTTGGAGGTGTCTGAGCTGGAACAAGAAACATGGACCTTTTGAACTGCCTCAAGGAACTAGGTGCGTTTGCGATTAAAGATAATTAATTTATATATAGAAATGTGTGGGAGTTCTGGCACCGAAAGAGAGCTAAGGGCCTTTCTACCACCGGCCCTGCGGGCACAAAAGGGCACACGGCCGTTCAAGGACGGACATCTGTGGATGCCCTTCACTTTTCGTGAGAGAAAAACTTGGCAAAGGACCTATTCCTGGGCACAGCTGCCGTCCGAGGCACACACGAAGCGGTTGCTGTCCGAAGACCCATAGCCTTTCTCACACTTCACACAGCCTTGACCTGCGAGCTTCACGGGTGTGCATGCGGATTGGGAATGATTCCAGGTTCCCTGCGTCCAGCCGGACCCAAAGGAGCGCACGCCAGTGATATGCACCACTGGTCCATGCATCAGGAAAGCCCCTCTTTGTGCCATCCCACGATGTTTTCTTGAACACATTGCCTGAGGATCGAATCTTACAATAAAAAAGCCTGGGAACAGCTGCTCCTTTTCAAGAGCACCCTGATACCTCAAGGCCAGGTACAGTAGCCCTCGATCTGTTTGCCCAGCCTCTGTAGCCCTCCGCGCACATCTCTCCAAAGCCTTCGGTGGAAATCTCACCGCCCATGCACGCTAGGCGATTCGGACAGCGAAAGCTCCGGCTGATGTTGGCCTGTGCGGCGCCCGCGGCGGAGGCGCCCGTGCGGGTCGGAAGGAGTGGCGCCTCGTGGTCCCCGGCACACGGCTCAAATCCCCAAACATCCGGCTGTTCTTGTCAAAAAGCTCTGAGAAGGTGGAGTGGCATGTGCGTCCCAAAGCGCAGGACTTCCATTTTCAGGCCTACGTCATTCAGCCCGGCGCGGCACACGGTGTGTCACATGCTTCTTGGAACCCCTGGATACACATAGAAGTCACCATGTCCTTGGTCCTCTCTTCAAAGACTTCCTGACGGTGGCTGTAGGGACCAGCAAGTCTTGTGAAAAGGGTGTGGCTGCAACTGTCTGGTTGTCCGGTCCCAGTTTTCAACCGGCCTTTTCTACCATGTAGCCGATCTTCAGCTTGAGGTGGTGCATGTCAACATGCGCCGTGCCACGGGGTGCGGACCAACAGGTCTTCAACGGCAGATCGTCGTCCAAGATGGGATTTCCAAAGACTTGGATCTTGTTCTCCTGCCAAGGTGAAGACCCAAACCGGGGGCCCCCGTGCTGGAAACCTCACTGACTCAAACAGTACAGGGACTCGAATGCGGTTCTGGTGATGAGGTGGGGAAGGCAAATCTCCTATCATCATGGGACTTGAACTGACAAGTATCTGAGAGGCCTGCTGTCAAGGGCAAACCTCAAGTGGGGTGATTCAAGGGCAATGCTTGCTCCCAAACTTCCTAACCAAATGCTTCAAATCATCGCCATATGCGCTACCGGAATACTTCGTTTGCTGGAAACCATTCTACAGTAGACCATGTTATTCCAAGCATTCAGCCAGCGATCCCTTTTAATCCCGTTCTAGCTTGCCACTTGCTACACCCGCATGAACCCGTTGCTCGCTCAAAGAAATCCATGACCCAAACCCGCGAGCGCGAGTTCGACTAAGAATGCAGGAACGCACCACTCACCGTGAGTGCGCATCTTGGCATCTCTGCATAGCGCGCGATACACGCGCGCCCGCGCCCGGAACAAAAGAGGTTCGAAGCCGGCCTCACAGCTCACACAGCCCACATGGTGTGGCTGCTTGAAGCTGGCAAGGCCATTGTCGCACTTCACCTGGACAGCTCGGGCAGTCCTCGTCCCAACGACGACCCCGTCGGTCCTGCTGTTCGGTCGGTCATGCGGTATGCCTTTTTCAGTGGAGCTTTCAGCGGGGAGCTCCGGTGGTTTTCCATGTTTTTTCCTTCCTGGTGTTGGCTGACCCTGATGGGGTGCAAGAAGTCGTCCTATGATTAACCCATGTCCCTCTCCACATAAACCCGACAGGTGAACTTTGCTGCATCTCCACCGCACGGCTGCCATCGCCATCTCCACCGAGCCTGCCTGCTTTAGATGGATCTCTGGGGCGACGAACCACACGTGCGAGGTGTTCCTCAAAAGGTGCGCATGAAATCAGTGAAGGCAGGCAAGGACACATGTTGGAAAGCCATGCTGTGCGAGAAACCTGACGAAAACCCATGGAAACCACAAATCCAGTGACTGAAGGTTCAGCTCTTGCTACCCACAAGGGCCCGCCAAGAAGACGCTCGAAGCTGTTGAGCGTCTCTCCTCTGTTGGGCAACCTGTGACCTGTTTAACAGCGTAGCTTGATGTTCCTACTGCCAGGCTTGTGTGGGCAGCCACCTCTCAAGCATCGCATTTACACCCCCATGCTGTTCACCGACCCAGGAACATCTCTATATGGCTACGGGTGAAAGCCGGGACACCCTGGTTGACCACCAAGAATGAACGGAGGTTGACCTACCCTGCCAGATCAACCTACCCTGGTTTAGCGGCTCCGGTTGACCCACAGCCATACAATGTGCTACAGTGCTACAGTACATAGGTAGAAGCTGCACAATCTTCCAGCCAAAGCTGCTCCAGTGACAGGTTGGACATGTTGATGAGCTTCAATGCTGAGATCTGTGGCGCCGACGTTCTCTGCATCACTGCGTGAGTTTCTTCCGGGATGATGACCTGGCAACGGCCAAAGGAAGAAGAGGATACTCCCCCAGCCTGACTCCCAGCTACCCCCCAAAAACAGTGGAAATCCAAAATAAATCTGCCCAAATCCCCCTCGAGCATCAGAATATGATCCCTAAGTCCCTAAGTGATGACCCAGGTCCTTCACGGCCTTGCAAGAAGAAATAATTAACAGACATCTGACTCATCTGACATCCATCACCTATGCATCCACCCCGAGCTACTCTCCCCCAGCCCCCATTCCCCAGCCTCACCGGTGGACTGGATCACACCGCCCGCCAGCGCGGTGATGTTCCTGAATTCGCTCTCCCCCAGCAGCCGCACGTCGCGCCCGTTCAGCGCCCCACCGAAGGCATCGGCGCCGCAGTCCCGGAAGAGGGCGCGAGCGGTCCTCGGGTCGTCAGCCGAAGCGGGGGCGAAGGAGAAGGAGAGAGGTTTTTGGGTGAGGAGTGCATCGAGGTCAAGTCTCGGCTCATGGAGCTTCATGCGCCGAGCGGCCAAGTCTCGGCTCGCCGCGACCGGGTCGCGACCAGTCGTTGCAGCCCGAAACCCGTGGAACGCCGGACCAGGCCAGTCTTGGGCTTAATCATCAGCACGCCCATGAAGGAAACAGGGGCAGGAAACGCACGTGCTGCTTTCTTTTTTGGGGGGGGTGTCTCAGGAAATGGTAAGGTATTACAACAAATCTCTCTGTTGATGGCGTTCTGTTGCTTCCACTTCCTTTTCAACACAAGAGAGACAATAAGTTAAGCTGGTCCAAAGGGATCAAGATTGACCATCTCTTTGAATTGCGGGTCAGCATACAAAGGGACAGCAACAGGCCCCATCTCTACAGTTTACATGCGGCCATCCGCAACAGCAAAAGCAATAAAACGGTCAGTACCCCCAAAAGAAAAAGGTACAAACCATTCCGGTGCCGAAGGCTTCGTGAGTTTTTTCTTCCTTCGTCCATCTACTCATACAGACCATCTCTCAGGTGCCTTCACCTCCCTCCACCGCTCCACGCCCGAGCGGCGGAGCCAACAGCAGGTCCTGCCGCGCATAGAGCGCGCCGCCGGCGCCCGCCCAGCAGCGTTCGAAGGTCGTGGAGCCCAACAGCTGGACGCTGCCCCGGGCCGACCTCGGTGGCGGTCGGGAAGCCAAACCAAAAAAAACACACGAGGTATAACGAGGTGGAAAGAAAGGGAGGATCTGGTGGAAGGAAGGAAGGTTGTTTAGAGGACTTCTCTCTCTTTGTGTGGGTGTGGGTTTCATGAGATGGCTTTGAGGTGGTGAATTGTATCAAGAACGGCCACCCCCTCCTGCCACAAGACCTTGGAAAACGACCCTTTGCTTAGAGGTTGGTCACCAACCATGGATTCCACCGTTGTACCCAGAAGCGCCACGGGCATACAAACCAGTGGTCAAGGTCAAGCAGTCCAATGTGCCAGGCGTGAGAAAGCAACCGAGAGATCAAAAGCGGGCGTCTGTCAGCTGTCAATATCATGAGTGCAACATCTCTGGTCAAAGTGTCGGATCCTCCAGCTAAACAAAAGCAAAAGAAGCAAAAATGGACCAAAGGTTCCCAAGAACAGAAACTGCACCTAAATGAACCCCAACTGTGGATCTCCCTCTGAGTCCAAAAAGTGAATGCCCCCCCAACACGCGCAACATGTTCCTTTTGGAAATGCTCATAGAGTAGGACACTAGGGTCAATCAAGAATGCAGTTGGGTCACTTGAGGCTCTTGATGTACTTGCTGAGCCTGTTCCTGACACGAAGAATTCATCCACCAACACGCTGCTGGGGGGTGGGCCATAGACCTCATAACACCACAAACCAAAACCAGGATTAGCTGGTAAAAATGTCATAGCACCTCCCTGACCTACCTTGTGTGAGTTTCTGCGACTCATTCCGACGCCGGCCTCATGTGGCAGCTGCACGAAGCAAACCCACAAAACAAACTTCCAGAACTGACTGTGACAATAAAGAATCGCGCGAGTCCCGTTGAAACAGTCCGCTACAAACGAAACTCGGCCCATCTTACCCCATCTTAGGCAGTGCAAAGTGAAATAAGAATAAGACCTTCGGCACCTGGAAACTCCCACCCCAAGCACAACTTCAACCTACTTCGGTGTCACATGCCAAGGTTGGTGGACCACGTGCGGGACGGCGCTGGATGACAAAGAGACTCACAAAACCTAACGATCATGTCCCTACCGGTCAATGACCTCATTTGACTGGACGTGATCATATAATGCACTACTTCAGTAACTTAAGGATGTAAAGGCCCAGGTTTTACTGGGCCTTTGGACGTGCATGGTGTGTGCATCACATTTCCCAGCAACAATGGATGATGATGCTTAGTAAAGGCCATTCTCTCAAACAGAGATAGTTGTCACCGACCGACTGTGACAGGGTCATGGGACACCCCCAATGCTCGCAATATCGCAGTTGAATCAATCGCCGGACGAATCGCACACAGTGCACTACTTGCCGCACCCTCAGCCCAAACAGTGACTCCAACTGAAGCTCTTGAGGACGATGCCTCTTCAGCCGGTCACAGGGAGTTTTTGGGGCTTCAAGGCTTCCGGGTGACAGATCGGGAGGTTCGAAGTGGTGCTACGCTGCTACACCATTTGGCGCCAGCCGACTCGGCGCGGCCGGTCACCCTGTCGCACACCTCGCCACCGGCCTTCGGTTCGCCGCCGGCGAGCCCTTCTTGCCCACCCCGCCAGCACCGACCCGAGTGAACTTGAGGTCCTTGGGGGAAGGGATGTCAAACAGAAGAGGGAACGGGTCAAGGGCCGGGAGGGTTGTGAGTTGGTGTCTGCCCCTCAGAAATGTGAAAGGTGGATGAGAATGGTTGGGGACCTGCCCTAAAAGAGATCAGATCCATCTAGACAACAGTGACGCAGGACTGATCTCAACACCGTCACTGTAGTCGTCTGCAGGTGTGGATTCGGAATCCCGCTGAGAGCGCCAAGCGCGTCACCTCTCGAGTCCAGAAGCCGGGTTTTCCAAGTGGGCGGATTGGAAACTGCCGCTGGGAGCATTTTTTCTTCATAAGGTGCACACCATGCCTATGACACGGAAGCTTGATTGGAGGGGCACGGCGGCATGCCATCCCACCATGATCCACCGTGACATGCCACGCGTGAGAGGAGACTTCCTGGACAGTCCAGGGCACCCGGGGTCCCCGGGGTCGCCGGGCATTGGTGGCCCAGTCTCCACATTGGTGGCATCCGTCACACTCATGGCACCCCCGGACCGCTTGGCCGAGCAGTCTTCGAAGGCCATGTCACCTGGCCAGCCAACACGGCAGGCGTGGGTGAACAAGGCTGGGGAGTGTCAAGGAGGACGGTTGGACTCTCAAAATGCTCAAGGGTTGCCATCCATGTCCTGCTGCACCATGTGGCTCGGTTGGAAGGAAGTGACCATGGTCTCCCAGGTTTTGTTGGGGGGGCCGCGAAGTAGGCCCGGGTTGGATCACCGTCTTGCCGGACGAGGAGTCACCTCGTAAGCCATGAGGGAAGAGGCCCCCCCCATTGACTTCACAGCCTTTCATAGCGATCTGGTAGGCTTCCAACCACCATTGACTTCATAGCTTGTGCCGAACAACCATTCTTTTGCCTAAGAATTGTTCACTCTGCAAAAGCACCACCAACCACAAGGTCAACCTTTCCTTAGGGAAGATGGAAGTCAGCCATCTTCCCTAAGGAATAGGGGGTTCCTTTTCGATCCCTTCCACAGCCATGGGCGTCGGCACCCCGCCTTTCTGCTGGACGCTGGCCGCGAAGATGGCACCCCCCCGACTTCAAACTGCGACACGTCGTGAAATGGGCCGTGCTGCCTGCAGGGAGTACAGCAGGTGCACCCCCAAACGACCCACGCGTTTTCTCCTCCATGCCATGTGTGGAGGCCATTGAACCAGAAACCTACGGCTGAAACCGGGGCGCGTAGGGCTTCGAACCCAGCGGCGGGGGGGGGGGAGGCCAATCGCTGGGCTTCGAACAAAATGATCAGCGGTGAGAAGTTGGACGTCGCACTCGGCGGTGAGACACTGCACATGATAGAGAATATAGAGAGAATATAGATGAATATGCAACTAACGTAGAGCTATGGTAGAGACATCATCTGGAGATAGGTACAGGATATGTTATGTACTCAACTCATCCCTAGTTAGCTAAGAAGTTGAAGAATGTGTTGCTTTCGCCCAGTCTGAGCTTTCAAACTCTGATCTTTTGCTCCTGACTTGCAAAACCTCCCATCCCAAAGACCAAGCTGCAAAGTCCTGCAGTTCCAAAAAGCCACAAGAAAACAACCGCAAATCTGATCAATCCAAAAAGTCTTGATGGACTGACTGGACGTCCGCTCACACGAGCTCCAACCATCGTCTGAGAAGGGGGACCCAACCAACCTGGTCGAATGGGAAGCCAGCAAAAGCTGCCAAGCAAGCCTCCACCCTTCCCCATGAGCCTTCCCACTGCTCAATTTGGCCAATGGAATGGATGGCGCCCCCACTGCCCACCGATTTGCAATCCTTGAAGCTCATCTCTCCTGCAGCCCATGAGCGTCAAACCCCCCAGCATCCCTCAGCCAAATGCTGGAAGGCGGCCTCACGTACCAGTCGATTGCAAGGGTCCCAAAATCACCAGCAACATGGTTTTCCAGTTCGATGTCCTGCAGATCCTACAGTTCATGAAGGGTTCGGAATCGACCAACGGCTGAGTCGTCTCCGAGACCTCTATGACTCGCTGACGTCCGGACCGCGACGTCGCGGACGGAGCTCGAGTGGGGCATCGGTGGAACCGGGCGTCCAATGGGACCCTAAACTTCAAAGAGCAGCCTGATCACTTTCATTACTATATATATATATATATCCCCCTTGATTGGGGGAATATCCTGCCAGAACTCCATGTTATAGAGAATGCCGAATGCCGGCTATGAAATACTAAGACCATCATATTATATATATATATATTT